TGAGTAGCTTGTCGTCGTATTTGAGGGTATGTAGGTTAGTGAACATGGTCCGTGAAGCATTCGATACATCGGTTACGAATACATTTTTCTCCTTGCCACCATTGAGATTATACAACAGCCAAGTGTCGACAGTACCGAATGCCAGGTTACCAGCATCATAAGCCGTCTTCACCTCTGGTACATTGCGGAGTAACCAGACCAACTTGGCAGACGAAGAGTATGTTGATATGGGCAGACCACATATTTCCTGCAGCTGATCGGCCCCTTTCTCCTTGAACTCTCTGACTATGGACTTGGTACGAGTATCTGGCCAGGCTATAGCGTTGTATAGCGGCTTACCGGTCTCCCAGTCCCAAACGACAGTGGTTTCTCGTTGATTAGTAACTCCGAGTACTTCAATCTCACTGATATCGTGACCATTATTGATAAACGTCTTCGTTGCCTGCTCAATGCACTTTTGTGCCGAGGAAATGATCTCTGCTGGATCTTGTTCATGCCACCTATAAGGAATTCGTTAGCAAGACACTTGGACCGATTGAGAAGAAAAGATGGAAGACAAACCCAGGCTGGTCATGTACCCGTCCAAGCTCTGTCTGATGGGAGGCAGCAATGCTTCCCTGCAGGTCAAATATGATGAACCGAGTACTGGTAGTGCCCTGGTCAATAGCTCCTATAAACCTGGACGGCCGCTCCTCCCGGCTGGGGAGGATCGCATTGCGAACGGCAAAAGTGTCTAGTCCGTCTTCAAAGGTATCTGCTAGTCCCTTGACGACCTCTATGGCGCTCTCTCGAAGAGCAGCAAGCGAGTTCTTGGTTGACTTCTCCTCGGCCATGACTCGTATACGAGATCTGTCCTGATCTTGTGGGGGTAAAAGAAACCGGGGAAGCCGTTTACACACCACCAGCGCCACAGCCAATAGGTCCACCGGCAGCCAACATCTGTAGTATAGCAGCGAGAGGCGAGTGGAGGGATATGAGGTCGCCGTAGACGGAGCGTGAAGAGGGAATGCTTTATACGGCGAAACCCGGGGCGAAGGTGTTTGTGCGAAGAAGTCTCTGCCTGATCACGCAGTCGCGGGGGGTTGTTGTGGTTCCTGTGGTTCCTGTGGATTAAGCGCCGGCGGGGCGAGCACAGCCCAGAAAACAGGTAGTTCGCCGGCTTTCCGATGCGCCGCGGCAGATGACACGATGGTACGATGATGAGGCCATGGCCAGGCTAGGTAGCTATAGGGACAAGTATAGGATGAAAGTGATGTTGATGACACTGCTGCTGATATGAAGATGAAAGACAGCGCCAGCAGAGGCGTCGTGGGATCAAGCTCTGCGGTGTTACGGTCTCTGGGCTCAACCGCAACATGCAGTGAGATCGGATGCAAGATCCGAAGCAGTAGAAGCGGATGAAGAAAGACGAAGAAGACCCTTGACGGGCGCTACGCTGCGAATCACAGTGACGATCTAGCCGCGCTTGCACAGAATCCGGGGAGGCTGTCCTCGATCCCAGCGCCAGGGGAGCTCGCTATGGTGGCTCTCTGATTTGTCGGCTTGGGCGGCACACCGTCGGACTATTGATTCGGCCTAGGCTGGATGGATGGCATGCAGGATCGGGCAGATGATGTGCAGATGCGCTTGTCGGCTGGCCGGATAGTGCCATACAACTTTGTGCTTGTGTGAGGCAGGCTATAGCGTTGGTTATATGCGTGGCTGAGGAACAAAGGAAAAAGTTGATATCAAGTAAATAGACGTTTTAGCTACAGGTCTGGTCTAAGAAACAAAGGAAAGTCGACCGTTCAGGCTTTTTTTGAGATTATCTTGTTTTTTTGTTGATGCGTGTTGTGGGTTAATTTACAAGGCACAGGTGAACGGGCTTAGTTTCCAACAAGAGGGGCAAGTAGGAAAATAAACGGGGATATGGCGGACAGACGGGCAGGAAAAAGCAAGGAAAGCCGGATTTACTCGGCCTCCTCAGCAGCAGCAGCCTCGGCCTTAGCAAGGTCCTTCTCTCGGGCAGCCTGGAGAGCCTTGATTTTCTCGGTGATGCCGTGCTCGGAGGTGAAGTGGGAAGCAAGTTGCTCTCGGCCGACCAAGCTGCAGACGATGGCGGCGCCAACGACGAAGGTAAGGACGAATCGGTACATGCCGTACCAAGCTGGAACCCACCCCTTGACAGCGGCGCGGGTGTCGTTGTAGTACAGGAAGGTGAAGGCGAAGAACTGGGTGATCAAGGCATACTCAACCGGGAGGAGGAGAGTAGGCCAGGCGACAGCTGGGGCAACGACACCGGTGGCATAGCGGCGGAAACCGTGCTTTCCACCGTATCCAGCCCACTCCATACCCCAGTGGACGGCTCCAAGGAACGAGAGGATCTATATATCTAGTCAGATACCTCTATCATTGTAGTCATAGTTTAGAGAGCGTAAATAGAACATACCACAGCGCCGTAGCCAACCTGGATAGGCTCAATGAGGTTCATCATAGCCTGGGCGGTCTCAACAGAGATATACTGGGTAGTTCCGAGAGTGACGGCGTTGTTCATCTCCCAGGAGAGGAAAACGGTCTGGAGAGAGGTCACGACGTAAGGGACAACACCAGCCAGGCCGTAGTACAGAGCCTCCTTGGGGACACCCTCCAAGCTGAAGGTATCCTTGATAATTTTCTAGAGCAATGTTAGTATCAACACTATAGCTGCCGTCAATTGGAGATATAACTCGAATATTCAACCTACCACATCGTTCTTCACACCAGCCATCATATCAACATCGGGCTCTTCGATCAGAGTCTTCTTAGCCTCCTATTTTTTTAATAAAAAAGAAAAATCAATTAGTCTATCTATCAACCCCCAAGAATCTAGATCGTTCTAATGAAATTGCAGTATACGGTCACTTACAGTGGAAGAGTAGCGGACAAGGGCGGTGGTGACTGGCTGGCGGAAAGGCGAAAGCGCCATGGAGGTTGACCGTGGACCAGCCCATTGCCTGGCGGAGGTGGTCAACTGGGCCTTGAAAGCAGTGTTGGTCCAGGCACTTCGAGCAATCGAAGCGTTTGAGCTCGATACGGCTCTGAGCACAGAGCGCGCGGCAGCTGTTCGGTACAACATGGCGAGGGTCAAAGAACTGTGGTAGTTGGAAGTTGGTCGGACTGAAGCGGAAGAAGTCGGCGGGCAAGCGCAGGACGCAGAGATAACCGGCCAGGCAGCGGAGGAAAGCTGTCAAAGCACGATAGAGGAGTGGAGATGGGTGTCCCGTGTGTACTGGTCGTACCCGAGCGATGCAGAGGTGCCAATTGAAGCTGAAGATGTCGCTTTTCCAACACACAATTTGCTCGTCGTCGCTTCAAGTTTGATGTCGAAGTCGGGATGTTGACGCTTAGTCAGCGTATAAATGACGGACCGATGGGGCTTAGTAAGCATGATCGAAGCCCGTGCCAGCCGGCCTGCAAAGTCGCAAGTTAAAAGGACCAGGACGACGCCGACGCCGACGCTGACGCCGACGAGAGAGGAGATCGAGAGACATGATGGAGGGACGATGAGGAGAGATGGGCTGTCGGAGGAGAGAAGATGGTCACAGAGGTAAGGGAGATGAGAGGAGGACCAGGAAGAAAAAGGAAGAGAGGAGAGCTCGTGGTGCTGTACTAAGCACTAAGGGCGACGGTGACCTCGATTGCCTCGCATCGACTCGACCCGGGTATTTGGAGATTCGAAATAATACAGTAACTGGCCCAGCCAAGTGAGAATTCGTGGCGTCAAGGAGGATGTCGTGCAATTGCACCCAGCCGAGTCGTCTGCATCGGGCGTAATGGCAGATATTGATATCTGCCAGCAGCTGTGTAAGCTGCCATCACGCGAGATACACACGACCGAACGGCACCACGACCGAGCAGCACTCGACAAAACCTACAAAAACAGAAAATCTACAGGGAGGAGAGTCCCCTCATCCTCCTTATATATACAATTACTGCATTCTCACCTAGAAAGAGGGTCGATTAAAGTGGTATCCAGTAGTGGCGCCACCTTTTGACAGTTTGCCTTATGTCCGGCCATCGACCATTCGCAGCCCTTACATTAGACAGACAACGGTTGGGAGACGAGACCGCTCCGGCGGATCAGCGTACGGAGTACGGAGAAAATGCAGGAACTCGTTTACTGCTGGAGACATATCCTTGAAGCTGGCCCATACGCGGTTATCCGATGGTGTTGGTATGAAGGGTGACCAACAGGAACATTACTCAAACGCCACGCTATAATGGAAGAGTAGAATTATGAGAGAGTCGATAACGGATACTCGACAGTAGATTGCCCGTAACTGGGGGATCTGCTTCATGAGCGAAGCAGAGAAGACTACCTGTAGATGATCATAGTGAACCGAGAAGATAGCCAGTTTTTGGCTTGTTCAACTTCAATATGCAGTAGCTTAAAAGAGTCGCATCGCCAACTGTAGTTACTGCATCTTCATGCAGGCAGCCTGTCCTGGCGAAGTGTCTCGCCTGCAGTCCTGCCATCTTGCTTGGTTCCCTTGCAAGAAAAAGTGGTGGAGCATCGACAAGGCATGGAAACGAACATCTACGTCACTCGAAATCGCCCGACTTTCGCTCCTCCACGAGAACGAGCAAACAACTCGACATCTTTCACGACATACAACATACATCTCTCGCTGCCATACACTACATAAAAGCACCGGGTCGTTTGAGGCAAAAGTGAATTTGTCTATTCTCCTGGTCTGCAATTGACTGTGCCGACCCTCACTTTGCCTCAGAGGCTGCCCGGTTTTTCTGTGGTTGACGAGGGGTGCATCACCTAATGACGGTTAGAACTTCAACAACCGCCAAACTATTCAACCTCGCTGCACTGGTTTTACTGACTTCAAGTCTGTTTTCAACAGGAATAAAATCGTTAAATATTGTTGAGTCGCCCATGGTCTCCGAAAACCCATCTCAGTACAGAACCTTGTACCGGGTCGAGACTGCTGTGGTCAACTGCGTGAATCGGCCATAGCCACGACGCCGCCATGTTAGAAGGGATAGTTGCGAACCTGTTGAACAGGTTCCTGGGGATGTATGTGAAGAACTTCGATGCAGGACAGCTTAATGTCGGTATATGGTCCGGTGATGTCAAACTACGAGACCTGGAACTTCGCCGCGAGGCACTTGACCAACTACATCTACCGCTGAACGTTATCGAAGGCCATCTCGGCGAACTCACGCTCTCTATTCCATGGTCTAATCTTCGAGGGAAGCCCGTGAAAGTGCATATTCAAGATGTGTTCCTCCTTGCGGCGCCGAAGGAGGATTCCACTTACGACCCAGAAGAAGAGAGGAAGAGAGAGCATGCGGTTAAGATGGAGAAGCTTGAAAGTGCTGAGCTTATCAAGGAGCAGAATACCGAGGGTATGAGCCAGGAGGAGCAACAGAAGAACCAGAGCTTTACGCAGAGCTTGATAACTGCCATCGTCAACAATCTCCAGGTGGCTATCAAGAACGTTCATTTTCGTTATGAAGATGCCATTGCTGCTCCTGGACATCCATTCGCCGCGGGTGTCACGATCAAGGAACTTAGTGCTGTCAGCACGGATTCAAATTGGAAGCCTACCTTTATACAGTCGACGTCTACCAGCAATTATAAACTTGCTGTCCTGAACTCTCTGGCAGTCTACTGGAACACAGATGCAGAGCTCTTTGCGCCAGATCATGGAGCTTCTACAGAGTCAGGAGAAGCTGGAGATACTGATGCCCCGATATTCAGCCATGCTGATTTGCTAGAGAAATTCCGAGATGCTGTTGCTACGGGTGAGAACAATCAGTATATTCTCAAGCCTGTCAGCGGCAAAGCTGGCCTGGAATTAGACACCTCCCAGAATGTCGATCATCCGCGAGCCAAAGCTAAATTGATATTCGATGAACTCGGCTTTGTGCTCGACGACCATCAATACCGTGATGTTTTGATGCTAGTCGACCTCTTCCATTACTTCATTCAGCATCGAGAGTATCGAAGCTTGATGCCCGCTTGCCGGCCAAAGGAAGACCCCCGTGCCTGGTTCAGGTTTGCTGGTCAAGCCATTCTCAGTAAAATCCACGAACGAAACCGCAAATGGACTTGGGGCTATATAAAAGAACGGAGGGATAATCGTATCCGGTATATCGAGTTGTTCAAGATGAGAAAGAGAGAGGACCCCATGTCACCTGCGGAGACGGAGGAGATGAAAGCTCTTGAAGAGAAATTGTCGTACGAAGATCTGCGGTTTTGGCGGTCCCTTGCTAGAAACCATCTGAGAAAAGAGAGGATTGAGTGCCCAAAGAAGGTTGTCAGACAGCAGACCTGGTCCGAGTGGATATGGGGAACGAGTCCAAAGGAGGAAGACCAGCCCACGTCCATGACGGAAGAACAACGACAGGAACTGTATCAAGCTATAGATTGGGATGAGAAGAAAGCTATAGCTGATGCGGTTGATCTTCCCCGAGACTCCGTCAAGTTCCAGGTAGACTCGAGCCTCCGAGCTGGCAGCTTCACCTTAAAACGAGATCCTCATGGCAAGGCGGATGAGATATTAAAGCTGGTCTTTGAGAACTTCCAGGCAAAGGCACTACAGCGGCCGGATTCGTTCTTGGTCCAGGTTGATCTCGGTGGGTTACGGCTGTTCGATCATACCACGGACAATACTGCCTTCCCTCAGATTGTCCGTGTTAAAGATAGCTATTCCATGCCAAGCAAGAATGTTGAAGAGATTACCGAAATGGATATACCTGAATCCCCTGACATTGAAACGATAGACCGTGAGAACGATGATAGCCTGTTCTATCTCCAGTTTGAATCAAATCCCCTAGATGGGAGCGCGGATTCTGCTCTTCGCATGAAACTCAAAAGTCTTGAAGTTATATATACCCCCAAGGTATTAGTTGAGATCGTCAAGTTCTTCCGCCCTCCGGAACGACATATGGAATCCATCGGCGCTCTCCTGGAAACTGCGGGGGCAACTGTTGCGGAAATACGTCAACAGACAAGAGCTGGGCTGGAGTTTGCCCTTGAAGAGCACAAGACCATTAACGCCCAGCTGGACATCCAGGCTCCACTTATCATTATACCTGAGAGCATTACTACAGGTGACAGCATGTGTCTCATCTTTGATGCCGGTAGAGTGAGCGTGACCAGCAAGCTGGTCGACAAGGAGACTCTGAAGATGGTTCAGAGCAAGCAAGGCACTGAAATCGGCGACGATGACCTCAGCCGACTTGAATCCTTGATGTATGACAAGTTCCTGCTAAAGCTCGATTCAACACAAGTTCTTATTGGTAAAGGCATTGAAGCAACCAAAGCTGAGCTAGACCCAAAACGGAATCAAAGAACCTGCATATCATGGACCGTATCAATATGGACTTTGTGCTTGAGTTATGCATTGCCCCCAAGTCAACACTCACCAGGACACGGATATCAGGCCATCTTCCAGAATTCCACGCCTCTATGTCGGATACGAAATACAAAAATCTCATGAGACTGATTGACATTGCCATCCCGAGATTCGACACCGAGGAGTCGTCCACGAATTCAGCGGAGAAAGTCGCACAACCAGAAACTACATCAGTTGAAACCAGAGCCAGGTCGCAGTCGATTCAGTTCCCTCGACAAAAAGACGTACCTGTTTTGCAGTCGGAAAACGACATCGCAGGCCCCGATGATAGGAAATCAGCAGAATCGAAGACTCCTAAAAATATACATCGGCGTATGTTTGAATTCAAGTTTACCGTGGATACCCTGAGGGGCTCATTGTATCGATCTGACCCCAGCGATGAAAGAAAAGATAGACTGCTGGTTGAACTGGTGGCTGAACACTTCCAACTCGACTATAATCTCAGAGAATATGACATGGCTGCTGACATTGTTCTGAAATCTTTGAGTATTGAAGATTATATCGAAGAGCATTCGTCTGCCCCCGAATTCAAGAAAATTGTCACATCCAGGGGCTTCGATGCAAATGAAGAGAAGGACTTGTTCACTCTAAAATTTATCAGAGTTAATCCCAGCTCTCCCGAGTTCGTTTCAGTGTATGATGGCGTTGAAATGAACCTCGACCTAGTAGTGTCGACCATTAATTTGATTGTTACTCGGAAGACATTGCTTACCCTATTGGATTTCATTTTAATTACTTTCACCAACCAGAATCCACAGGACCAGGTTCAAAACTCTCATGAACAAGCCGCCTCCAATGACTCAAAGGAAGCTCCGAAGCCAGCTAATACAGGGAAAATTCGAATAAGCTCAAAGTTAGAGAGGATTTCCCTTATCTTGAATGACGATGGCATTCGTCTAGCCACCCTCAGTCTGAATACTGCGGATGTTGGAATATTCCTTGCCAATGAAACGATGCAGATCAAATCAAGAATGGGCAGTCTGACCTTATTCGATGATATCAATGAAAACGGCAAGTCGTCAACAGTCCGTCGGCTTATGAGTATTGAAGGGGATGATTTCGCGGATTTCCGCTACCAAACTTTCAACCCGAAACTTAAAGACTATCCTGGTTACGATTCAGAGGTAGCTTTACGATCTGGTTCGATCAAAATAAACTTCATCGACGAGCCGTACCGAAGGGTTATTAATTTCCTAGTTAAGTTTGGGAAGATGCAAAGTATATTCAACGCAGCCCGTCAGGCTGCAGCCAACCAAGCTACACAAATCCAAGAAAGCTCATCACTGATGCATTTTGATATCATGGTCAAGACACCCATCCTGGTGTTTCCCCGAATAACCGACCGAGACGGACCTCGAGATTTCATCACCGCTCATTTGGGAGAGATATATGCTAGCAACGAGTTTTCTCAAGCTGACCATGGAGAAGCAAGGTACCTGGTTAACACCATCACCGCTGGAATCCGTCATATCCGCCTCACGTCTACCTTCTACTACTCGGAAGATGTCTGTGAAGAATTGGAGATGATTGAGAAAGTGGATATGGATTTCAATATCAAATATGTTCAAGAACCCGTTGACAATTCCATACCCGTTATGCGTGTTGATGGCTCTATGTCACCCACCAATCTTCGGATTTCGCAAATGCAGCTTAAATTCCTCCTCGAGCTATCCCAAACCATCCCGGCTGCGTTTTCACCTGACCAAGAACTTCAAGAAGGACAAGCCCATCAGGCCCTACCCGAACTATCTGCGGGGTTAAGTACAGCCGCTAGTTCAGAAAAATCCAACGAGTCCAAGTCACTCACGGATGGATCTGGTAAAAATGCCGCAGAGCCTAAAAAGTCAATTCAACTCGAATTAGGATTCCGCGTGGAAACTATTGGGTTAGAACTGCTCCTTGTGAACGAGGAGGCGCCGGTTCAGTCTCTCGATGATGTTAGCTTGTCTAAGTTCTTCTTGAGCAATACCAATGTGAAGCTCCGGATGTTGAACAATGGCTCCCTCGAGTCTGAACTGCTTATCCACTCCTTTAATGTACGAGACAGCAGATCAAAGGAGATAAACCGGTTCCGTAAGATTATGTCCCTGGTCAATACCGAAGTTCAGCAACAGTTTATGGCCAGTCTTTCCATGTCCGGTGGTACCGATCGCCAATTAGTGGTGATGGTAACAATCGATAGCCCGCGTATTATATTCGCTGTCGATTATCTGTTCTCTCTCAAATCATTTGCAGCAGCGGCATTCCCTGCTGAGCCAGATACAGATGCTTCAGAAAGCTCGGATGAAGAGTCCTCGGGCCCGGTTGTGTCGCGTGAGAACCTGCAATCTAAACCAGCGACTATTCCTTCAAGCGCTATGACAGCAGAAAACAAATCTTCCCTTACAATGTCCTTCAGATTCAACATGGTTGATTCTCAAGTCATCCTGGTCGCTAACCCAACGATTGCGAACACAGAAGCTATCGTCCTGGGGGCTAAACAAATTGTCTATTCCCAGCAGAATGCGTCAACTCTTCAAATCACCAAGGTCGGCATGTTCCTTTGCCGTATGGATAAATTTGAGACCAGTAGACTGCGTATTCTGGACGACTTTTCGCTAGAATTATCCATGGATACTCAGAGTAAGAGCAAAAGTTTCTCTACAACCAGGATTGACATGCATGTGGAGCCATTGATTCTTCGGTTGTCACCACGAGATATCCTCCTTGCTCTGCAGATAATGAACAGAGTATCTGAGATGACTTCACCGACACAGCCTCAGAATGCAGCAAGCGAGTCGAAAGCTATTGCTGCTAAACCCACACAGGCAGACCTACAGTCACCAAGTACCCCCGTTCAATCTCGATTGACTGCAGCAGATAGAATTCAACAGTCATCCATAGTGAAGAAGGAAGAAATGTCCATTCAAATGGATGGTATTAGAGTTATACTGATTGGTGATGTACACATACTTCCCTTGCTTGACTGGAGTGTGCAGTCATTCCGAGTCGATGTCAGAGACTGGTCTGCCAATATGAGTGCTGATACCACTTTCGACACCTTCATCAACGTTTACAATTTCTCGAAGTCTACTTGGGAGCCGTTGATTGAGCCCTGGCAGCTTGGATTCCATATGTCGAAAGAACTAAGCCCTGACATATTCTCTATTGATGCATATTCCCATAAGAACATGGAGTTAACAGTCACATCTGCAACGATTGCTTTGGCGTCTAAAACAATGCAATTCTTGTCTGCGGATGAGGACGTTCTTTCAAAGCCCAGAGGTACAGATACTCCTTATCGAATCCGAAACTATACAGGCTTTGAATTGCGAGTATGGGCAGACACTGGCAATGGAGAGGAAGGGCATGCCTGTACCCTGGAAGATGGCGAAGAATACCCCTGGAGGTTTGAAGACCCAACTACTATGCGAGAGAACCTTACTCCGGAGGGCAACGCTGGTACGGTAGGAATTAAGCTTGAGGGCAGTGGATTCGATAGCATCAGCCGCATCCCCCTCATCCGTGAGGGGGAAACACTTTATAATCTGAAGCCAAAGAAAGATAAAGTGCTACATAAGCTGTTGGTGGAAGTCAGCTTGGGGACAGATTACGTCAAGTATATCACCTTCAGATCCCCCCTTGTGGTGGAGAATAAGACACAAATACCCGTTGAGGTTGGGGTATATAGCCCCGAAGAGGGACATCTTCTTAAGATTGAAAAAATACTTCCAGGTGATTCACGTCCAGCACCAGTGGGTGCCGCATACCTACATTCTCTCGTTGTGCGCCCAGATCAGGGCTTCGGGTACAATTGGTCAAACGAGAGGCTCTTCTGGAAAGATTTGCTGAGACGACCGACCAGAACCCTCAAATGTCAGAGTGAGAATGGACAACAATCTCCACCATTCTACTTCCAGATGAATGCCACTTTTGACAAGAATGATCCTCTTCTGTCCGTATATCCGTACATGCGGGTTCGTGTCTCTGCTCCTATTGAGATCCAAAACTTACTTCCATATGACTTTAAGTACCGCATATATGACAAAAACTTGAAGAAAGATTGGACGAACTTCCTTAGAAAAGGAGGGGTGAGTCCGGTCCATGTCGTGGAGCTTTCTCATGTACTCCTCCTAAGTATTGACATGCAGGATACAGCATTCAGGCAATGCGAGTTTGCAATAGTCAATGGGAATGTCCAAGAGGATTTCAGGAGAGAGTCTACCCTTACTGTCCAAGATGATCAAGGCCAAGAACTGAAACTAGGCCTTCACTACTTTACCGTTCCCGATAGTGGTGGTGCCTTTAAGGTCTCTGTGTTCAGTCCCTATCTTGTTCTGAACAAAACCGGACTCGATCTCAACATACAAAGCAAAGGCGTCTTCCACGGAGGCAGGTCTGCAGCGGGTCGGGCTATAAAAACAGATGCAATGAATGGAGTCCGTTCTGCCATTCCTTATATGTATTCTTATCCAACAGACGACCGTAAGAACCGGTCAGTCTTGAGGGTTAATGGCTCTTCGTGGAGCAAGCCCCAGAGCTTCGAAGCCATAGGAAGCAGTTTCGAGGTTACTTTACCAGGTTCCAATGGCCGAACCGAGTATCACGCAGGCGTGACGGTAGAAGAGGGGACTGGTAAATACAAAGTCACTAAAATAGTCACAGTATCCCCCAGATTCATACTCGAGAACAGGCTGGATGAAGAATTGGTTGCTCGTGAGCCAGGTTCTTCCAATGTTATCTCTCTAAAGCCTGGTGAACTTGTGCCGCTGCATTTCCTGAGGCAAGCAGCTGAAAAACAGCTTTGCTTCTGCTTCCCTGGTGTTAACAATCAGTGGTCCTCCTTGTTCAACATTGCTGACCTAGGAATAACTTATGTGAAACTAGCAAAGGCAAACCAGCGCCAGAGATTACTCAAAGTTGAAGTGCTTATGGAAGGTGCTACAATATTCTTACGCATTAGTATGGAGGCAGTACACTGGCCGTATTCTATGAAGAATGAATCGGATGCAGAATTCATATTCTTCCAAGCGGTATGACGTTAACCCCTGGAACCGTTTATCAATATCAAACTAACTGGTTTTAGAACCCAAACGTTAACGAGGACGAAGATGATCGCAGCACTACCTGGCGGCCTATCCGTTACCGTCTTCCGCCCCGCAGTATCATGCCCTACGCATGGGATTATCCTGCCGCTAAAAACAAGTCTCTTGTTCTGCTATGTCGAGGAAAGGAAAGATATATCAAACTCGCTGAAATGGGCAACTTGATACCAATGAAGCTCCCGCCAACCCAGGATTTGCCCCAAAAGATTATTGATATCCGCATTGAAGCAGAAGGTCCTACGCAAACTCTTGTCTTATCCAATTTCCGACCATCAAGAAGTGTATATAGGCAGCAAAAGCCTGCCTCTTCTCAAACCAGTGTGTCCACTGGATTTGAAGTCAAGGAAATCAACTCGGACATTACGTTCAAAGCACAACTTCGATTAAACGGTATCGGGATATCCTTAGTCAACCAGAACTTGAGGGAGCTCGTGTATATCACGTTCCGCGAGATAGATCTCAAGCTCAGCGAATCTAAGATCTACCAGACGGTCAATACCACTATCAAGTGGATACAAGTTGATAATCAATTATATGGCGGAATATTCCCAATTCTTCTATACCCAAGCGTTGTCCCGAAAACTGGTAGGGAGATGGAGGCGCATCCAATTTTCACAGCTACGGTTACCCGGGTTAAAGACGACTCATATGGAGTCTTGTATGTGAAGTATGCTTCACTTCTTGTTCAGCAGATGACTCTTGAACTCGATGAAGACTTCATTTTTGCCCTCCTTGACTTTGTGAAGGTTCCAGGCGCCTCTTGGTCCGAGGAACGTGAGGACCCCATTTGTGAGGCTGAACTTGGCATTCCAGAACCAAAACATGAAGCACAGGGACAGGACGTGTATTTCGAGGTCCTTCACTTGCATCCTATGCAGCTTGATCTGTCCTTCGTTCGTACAGAACGAGTCAATGTTGAGGATACGACAGAGTCGTCTAACCCATTGATGTTCTTCGTCAACGTCATGACGATGTCAATAGGTAACGTTAATGATGCTCCGGTTAGATTAAACGCACTGCTTCTGGAGAACGCAAGAGTGTCTATACCGATGCTTGTTTCGAATATCACAAACCACTATACTCAGGAATTCCTTCGTCAGGTCCACGTTGTTATTGGCTCTGCGGATTTCCTAGGTAATCCCGTTGGTTTGTTTAACACCGTGAGTTCCGGAGTTGCCGATATATTCTATGAGCCATATCAAGGGTTTGTCATGTCCGACAGACCTCAGGAGCTGGGCCTCGGAATTGCCAAGGGTGCCACTTCATTCGTCAAGAAGTCAGTGTTTGGAATTACGGACAGTCTTACAAAGTTCACGGGAAGTGTCTCCAAAGGTCTCGCTGCCGCAACACTGGATAAAGAGTTTCAGGATCAACGAAGGATGTCTAGAGCCCGAAATAGACCAAAGCATGCTCTTTACGGAGTGACTGCAGGAGGCAGTGCTTTTGCTACCAGCATGGCAAGTGGAATTGGTGGTCTTGCGCGTCATCCACTGGAGGGTGCTGAAAAAGAAGGATTCCAAGGATTTGTTAAAGGTGTCGGAAAGGGATTCCTAGGACTTGCAACAAAGCCAGCACTCGGTGCTTTTGATCTAGCTTCCAGTAAGTACTCAGTTTCCTTTTTTTTTTTTTTTTTGTCTATTGAACAGACTTATCTAACTTTAACGCAGATCTTGCTGAAGGAGTAAGAAATACGACTACAGTTTTCGATGCCGGGGGCCTTGACCGAGTTCGTTTAACTCGCTTTATTGGTCGAACTGGAATTGTCAAACCGTATTCTCAGCGAGAAGCGCTGGGCCAATTCTGGCTCAAAACGACAGACGATGGCAAATACTTCAACGAGGAGTATATTGCTCATCTAGAGTTCCCTGGCAAAGATATGCTTGTGTTATTGACGTATGATCGAATCATGCTTGTCCGATCAAAGCGTCTCACAACAGAATGGGACATCAAATTGACCGATATTCAAAAGATATCAAAGGAGAGAACAGGAATGACCATAACGCTAAAGGGCGGCACCAACGGACCATTCATACCGGTACAGGATGAGAGTGGAAGAAACTGGTTCTACAAACAAATTGCTATTGGTATGTTTACTTATCATCATTTCTCCCGGCAAGTTGAGTATATTCAGTAACTAATCCCTGGTTGATAGCTGTCAACGCATTTAATGAGAAGTATAGTGCCAAGGGATAACTAGCGTTTGCCAGCTGTTTCGGTACGGATATGAGAGATGCAATAAATAATATGCATGGGGAACTCACTATTCTTATATACATCCAATATCGTTTCATATTTTTTTAGCTACATTCATCTTGTGTATTGGTAATGCTAATTGCTGTGATTGATTTTTATGGGGCTTTTTTCTCGGTTATGGCAAAAGGTTATTAATATAAATGGCACTTTACGATTCTGTGTACAGTTAACACAATAAAAATTAGACTACCCTAGCTAGACGTTTGATTTTCTGGACTATATATGTTCCGCGGAGTAGGTGCTCAAGTAATACGGCTTCAGAAGTCTCAAGGCGGGACGTACGACAAGCCTCCTCCACTGCCAAGACCGCGTCCGCCCTGTTGGGTGCGGCAACGTGCCGCTCCCGCCTTTCCGCTCTCACGAGAAGCTTAGGCACTCCATATTTCGACCACTTGCTTTTCCTCTAACGTTATTTGCCGCCTTCGGATATCCTTGGACGCAACTAGGCTGCTGTAGGTTAGCAGGCTTTGATAGACAAAGGACTTGTGTTGATCATGCGCTAGTTATTTATAATATTTTAACGTGATTTAGTTATACGACCGCCTTGATCATTTAGAGGTATATGCAACTGGGAAGCAGTACTCTGTAGTTAGTTGCTCTTCGGCTCACAGTTAAATCTGATCATATATTGTTAAAAGCAGAGTAAACGGTAAACAAATACACTATTACGGAGTACAGAGTACAGAGTACGTGGACGTGTTGCTCCTCATCCAGTCAACGAATTAAACAAGGTGCAACCCCCGAGCTTTATTAAAGTCTGCATTCCACATTGAACCTACTTTGAGGCCTTTGACAGCTAACCTTCTAGAGATATGCAATACAGGCTATATCGTTGGCTATATGACTCAATCGGCAGTCACAATTGCCGGGAAGGCCTGCTGCTGCTTTACAAGGTTGTTCACCTCCTGGCGGTGTAACTGTTTGATATCGTTACCCACACAGGGCGAGCCCATGACCTGCCGGGTTACTTATATGGGCCACAATGCAGGCGTGGGGAGTTGGATCGAATCAAGCAACAAGCTTAGGTATGATTTGCAGAAGAAGGGTCGGGAGTGTACTTCGGACAGGCGAGGAGGGCACTTCTGTCACGTATTGACTTGCTCAAATAGGATGTATCTCGCTAGTGCGCAAGCTCCCCCAACTGGCAGGCCCACGGAGTATATACTTTTGTATATCCCAGCTTAAACTTAGCATGAAGTCGCTTGACATTCCGAGTATTCTCTGGTCCAATAGCTATGAGGCGGAGTGGATGTCGACTATTACATAAATGGAGACCACCGACACCTTGACGGAGAATACGGAGCTGGCTCCCCGTGATACAGGACCATGTCCGACTCACGGGGAATGTTGCTCCGTGATGGGGCTAAAGCCGCTGCACCCAGCGATCTGCCAACAGCTGGTAATTCAACAAGCCAAATATTCACAGCTGTCAGTCCACGAGGCCATGCATTGGAAGTGTAGTCATATATAGGGCGTCAAGAAAGAGACTTGGCTGCTTCTCATCAGCTGCATATCCAGGAGGTCAAAATCCAACGTGTCCAAGAAGGTTTTTTATATTAAAGGGCGTCCATCGCCGATCAGGTGATCGGCTACGGCATCCATGTAACAAGATTGGATGTCCACGGCAACGGCTGACCCCGTCATAGCGACAGAGCCGTTTTAACCTCTGCAGGCCTCCATGTCCAGCTGATATATGAGGTTTTAAAGGCCAATTACTAGGCTGGACGAAGACCAGGGACAAAAAAACTCTGCCACGATACAAAACAAGATCGAAGTTTCAAACAGAAAAAAAAACAACGAAAAAACAACAAAAACAAAAAATCGGAGGCACTGCCACTTGGAACAATTAATGGACCAATAAGAAGCTGCAGCAACCCGCAAGGTCCGCCAATAAGCATCGGCTGATGTAATCGTGCAGAAAGAGACATCTGTACGGGCAATACTGCGTTACACGCTAGTCCTCTTTGGGCCTGGAGCTGTTGCACCCAGGTCTCATCATGGGCAGGCGATTATTGGCTGGCAGCCGTAATATGTCAGCAGACTGCCCCAGCCCCGGGCGTATCGTACGGTAACCGCCGCCACTGCCCGAGCTAAAGGCGGCATGTAATTAATATCCGGCCCAGTTTTCTGCCGGCTTACTTAATCATGTTACGGCCCTTTACCCGATCGGGAAGGCTTGCTGTCCTATTTTTCTCTTCGTCTTTTCCGCCGGCTCCAACTTCGACCTCAATCGTCTTTCTCTCGCAACGCCCGTCTTGACTCTGCCTGCTTTTGTCTCGCGATATCCTGCATTCGTGCTTCTATCTCGCCTCGTCTGCGAGCAATTGACTGGTTCTACCCGTACGTATCCTCGTCTGTCTTTTCCCTGCAAGCCAGCCCCCTTTTAGCTGCCCGGAGCAGCTGTGTCGTGTGAGTCTATGGGAGGTTGTATGCAGCTCATGAGCTGATCTATTGATTGTTGCTTTTTCTGCGGTGCCGTCCGAGCCTCTTTTGCTCGTTCAGCCCATATTCTCCCCCTAGTACTCGCTGAGATCTGTTCTATTACTTTTTCTTCCCTCTTTCTCTGTTGTTTTCTGAATCTTAACTAACGAAAGAATCCAAATAGCAGATCCTGAATTATACCTACACCTGTCTCTCTTGAATCAAGGGAGACGTTCTGATGACCTCGAGTTCGTGTGAGGCGGAACGGCAGATATAGTCGATAATTCCAGCCTCTTTCGACATCCATTATATACTCCGATACTTTTGGTGTCCTCTTTGGCTGGTCGTATTTGAACTTCTTTTTGCATCCCTTTGAAACGCGGCTGAAACGTCGATAAAAAAAATTACTAGATCGGGCGGTCCGGAAAATAATATCTTATAGGTATGAAGAAACAAAGCAGAAGAACCTTTGGTATATTATTATCAGCAGATGGGCTAACCGGCACTTCTTCTCATTAGAACGTCTTTTTTTTTTCTTTTCATTTTCTTAATATATTTGTGAATATGTTTCGAACAACAAGAGCTGTGACGCTGAAGGCGTCCGGAGCTTCTTCCCTTCTCAGACAATCGTATACTCGCTCGATATGTTCTGGAGCAAGGTCAAATCTTCAGTTGACAGCCCGCAAACCTCTGGGTGTTGTCTGTGCCAGAAAAGCCTGGGAGCAGACTAGGGGCTATGCCGTTGCGACTGGCGAGACCAGCAAAGGAGTGGTTCGTATAGCCTTTCTATTGACATTGAAAAAAAATTACTTTTTGAACTAATTAGCTTGTGTACATAGGACCCAAATGACTCTTTCCTCCAGGGCAACACCGCCAACTACATCGATGAGATGTACATGGCCTGGAAGGAGGACCCTCAAAGCGTTCACGTTTCATGGCGCACCTACTTTCACAACATGGAAGAGGGTAAGATGCCCATCTCGCAAGCCTTCCAGCCTCCACCCACCATTGTCCCTACTCCTACAGGCGGTGTTCCTCAACATATGCCTGGAAACGCAGCCGGAACGAACGTCTCCAACCACTTGAAGGTCCAGCTTCTTGTCCGCGCGTATCAGGCTCGTGGACACCATAAGGCAAAGATTGACCCTCTCGGCATTCGCGGGGAGGCTGATTCTTTTGGATACAGCAAGCCAAAGGAACTCGAGCTGTCCCACTATGGCTTCACTGAGAAGGACCTTGACGAGGAATTTGCTCTTGGCCCAGGAATCCTCCCTCGCTTCGAGACTGAGACCCGCAAGAAGATGACTCTTCGTGAGATTATTGATGCCTGCGAAAAGATCTACTGTGGCTCTTTCGGCGTGGAATACATCCACATTCCTGACCGCGTTCCTTGTGACTGGATCCGTGACCGTATTGAAATTCCTCAGCCATACAAGTACTCTGTCGATGAGAAGCGTCGCATTCTGGACCGTCTTATCTGGAGTTCCAGCTTCGAAGCCTTTTTGGCCACCAAATTCCCCAATGACAAGCGCTTCGGTCTGGAAGGTTGTGAGACCCTGGTACCCGGCATGAAGGCATTGATTGACCGAAGTGTCGACTACGGTGTCAAGGATATTGTCATCGGTATGCCTCACCGTGGTCGATTGAACGTCCTCAGCAATGTCGTCCGTAAGCCCAATGAATCTATCTTCAGTGAGTTCAGCGGTAGCGCCGAACCATCTGATGAGGGCTCAGGTGATGTCAAGTACCATCTTGGTATGAACTTCGAGCGCCCAACCCCGTCTGGAAAGCGTGTTCAGCTTTCGCTCGTTGCCAATCCCTCTCATTTGGAAGCCGAAGACCCAGTTGTCCTTGGAAAGACTCGCTCCATCCAGCACTACAATAACGACGAAAAAGAATTCAACACTGCCATGGGTGTCCTTCTTCACGGTGATGCCGCATTCGCTGCCCAGGGTATCGTTTATGAGACCATGGGCTTCCATTCGCTACCTGCCTATTCCACTGGAGGAACCATCCATATCGTTGTTAACAACCAGATCGGTTTCACCACTGACCCCCGTTTTGCCCGATCCACCCCTTATTGCTCTGATATCGCCAAGGCCATCGATGCTCCAGTCTTCCATGTGAACGGTGATGATGTCGAAGCTCTTAACCACGTCTGCCAGTTGGCCGCCGACTGGCGTGCCCAGTTCAAGAGTGATGTTGTCATTGACATCGTTTGCTACCGTAAGCAAGGCCACAACGAAACCGATCAGCCCGCCTTTACCCAGCCTCTTATGTACAAGCGCATTGCCTCCCAGCAGAGCCAGATTGATAAGTACGTTGAGAAGCTACTAAAGGAGAAGACCTTCACCAAGGAGGATATTGATGAACACAAGAAATGGGTCTGGGGAATGCTCAACGACAGCTTCGAGCGCAGCAAAGACTACACCCCAACCAGTCGAGAGTGGCTCACTTCCGCCTGGAACGGATTCAAGACCCCCAAGGAGCTTGCCACTGAGGTCCTCGGTCACCCTCCTACCGGCGTTGAAGCAGAGACCCTCCAGATGATTGGTGCTAAGCTTGGAAGCATTCCTGAGAACTTTACTCCACACCGCAACCTAAAGCGTATCTTGGCCAACCGGGAGAAATCCATCAAGGAGGGCCAAAATATCGACTGGTCCACTGCTGAAGCTCTTGCTTTCGGTACCTTGTGTAAGGAGGGCCACCACGTCCGCGTTTCTGGCCAGGATGTTGAGCGTGGCACGTTCTCTCAGCGTCACGCCGTCCTCCACGACCAAGAGAACGAGAGCACATACACTGCTCTCCAGCACATCAGCCCCGACCAAGGATCCTTTGTCATTTCCAACTCCTCCCTCAGTGAATATGGAGCGTAAGTTCCCCTTATTCCGATCTGTTGTTATCAGGCTAACTGTTTTTCCAGTCTCGGTTTCGAATACGGTTACTCGCTAACCTCTCCTAACGCTCTTGTCATGTGGGAAGCTCAGTTCGGTGACTTCGCCAACAACGCCCAATGCATCATTGATCAGTTCATTGCCTCCGGTGAATCGAAATGGGTTCAGCGATCTGGTCTCGTCATGTCTTTGCCCCATGGATATGATGGCCAGGGCCCTGAGCACTCTTCCGGCAGACTGGAACGTTACCTCCAGCTTTGCAACGAGGATCCTCGCGTTTACCCAGCCGCCGACAAGATTGACAGACAACATCAGGACTGCAACATGCAGATTGCCTACATGACCTCCCCCGCCAACTTGTTCCACATCCTCCGTCGACAGATCAACCGTCAATTCAGAAAACGTAAGCTTATTTTTGTCTTGATTATTTTTAAATATATTAGGCAAGTACTAACTGTCTTTAATAGCATTGATCATTTTCTTCTCGAAATCCCTTCTCCGTCACCCAAGCTGCCGATCCTCCATCGAGGAGTTCACTGGCGATTCCCATTTCCGCTGGATTATTCCCGATGACCAACATGGCAAACAGATTGATGAGCCTGAGAAAATCGAGCGCGTGATTATGTGCTCCGGTCAAGTTTGGGCTGCCCTCACCAAGCACCGTGAGGCCAACGGTATCAGGAACACCGCCATCACCCGTATCGAACAAATGCACCCCTTCCCCTGGCAACAGCTGAAGGAGAACCTCGACAGCTACCCCAATGCCAAGGACATTGTCTTCTGTCAAGAGGAGCCTCTCAACGCCGGAAGCTGGAGCTACATGCAACCCCGCATTGAGACCCTTCTCAACGAGACTGTCCACCACAACAGGCGCCATGTCCTGTACGCCGGTCGTAACCCAAGCGCTAGTGTGGCCACTGGCTTGAAGAGCAGTCACATCAAGGAAGAGCAAGATCTATTGCACGACGCTTTCACCGTACACCAGGAAAAGCTCAAGGGCGAGTAGATCGCACAAGAAATTAAACATAAAGCAGATGGGAGCTGAAGTGTCCCCCATTGAAGATAGCATTTCTACATGCATGAGTGTGATGGCCTTTCATTTGTCCTTTTCACAACCACCTTTGTTTCCATAGTGTATAAATCCGAATAATTTTCCTTCATCGCATTCATTCCGTCCTTTGTCATCGTCGTTCTTCCCTTTATTTAAATTCTATACAAAACCCGGAGCTAGACTTCGTGTTGACTAAACCTCACTGCTTAGCTAACACTACGTCATCAACAGCAGCGCAAGATACGCTTCAATTTACTATCCCTTCACCATCAGCGGCCACGTTCAATATTATTTGATAGAAGATTTATGTCATAATGCATAGCACTTATTTCTATATCTAGAAGCTATCCAGTGCAAAATAATTGAAAATGACAATAAGCAGGCTATTTTTAACCACAAACCTTGTTTCAATTATATAAGCAGACTTGTATCACGCTAAACCCGAATAGGCTCCACTGCGGAAAGCTTCAAAGTCACGCTTCTTTTTTGCGTCTTCGTCGGCTTCTTCGACTTCACGACTTCACGACTTCACCTCTTCACCTTTACAACTTGGCCAGGCAGCAGGTCTTTTGCTGCGCTTTTCCTCCGCTTAGAAAGCTGTTCCGGGGCGTGGCCTTGGCCCCAGATTCGTTTCTGCGTCAAGACAGCCCCTAGTACCACAAGCGCAGTTTGTTCATCTCGCAATGGCGTCGAGCAGCATGCCTACCGGCGGCAATGCCAGCAACATACGCCAAACCGCTCGCCAAACCCGGACGAACCCTTCTAGACAGTCCAAGACCGCTGGCCGCACGTCGCTTATCGGTGGACTTACCGGTGGCCCCTCAAGCCTCGGGGGAGGACATGGAGCCGGCGGTTCTGTCCACGGCAACTCGGTACCAGCGGGGATCTATCCAGGAATCACTCACTTTAGCGATGCTATCGATGCACTTCCTAGAGAGTTCCGGAGACATAATTCGTTACTGAACGAGGTTGATGGCAAAGCGTGGGCGCTGGAGGAGCAGTTGTCCAAATTGCTCACCACCGCAACGAAGCTGATCTCCGTAGACTACGATGCTCCCAGACCGAAGCAGGTACGCTTTCAACTCTCCAGTGCCTTTTGTTAACCATTCTGAACACATCTGGCGAGCTCAAGATGGCTTGCTAACTGAATCCCACCTTAGGTCGATGTCACACCAACGAGACAGGTTTTTCAGAGCATCCGTTCTACTCTCGGCGACCTCCTAGGAACCATCGATGAAAAGAATCATGTTGCACGCAACGCAAATGCGACACTCCAACGAGATGTTAGCCGACTTGATGCTATTTACCCGCACGTACAGCGAGAAGTGAGTGATGAAGCTCGGCTTGGGAGTTTAACGCACTGGGCATATATCAACAAACCTACGCCGAAAACAAGTGCTACTGCTGTCAATGAACGCCCTAGGAGAGATACTGCAGGTGCAAACAGCCATAGGGCCGCCCATGGAGATGCGGATAACGAACCAAAGAAAGAGCCAGTTCGCCGACAACGTCGAACCCAGGCAGAGATTGAAGCAGATGAGGCTCGAGGCATCACCGTACGAAGAGGCAAGCCAGGGCCGAAAAGTAAAACTGCAGACAACCAATCGAGTGAGCAGGCTTTAACCGCTGGGGGTGCCGCCGGGATTGTGACTGCGAAACGCCGAAAGGTAGAACATACTCAATCTATGGCAGCAACGGCTATGGAGCGATCCGCGAGTACTGCAACAAATGCTGGTGGCCGAGCCGGATCAAAAGAGAGCCCTGCGCCAGATGCTGTGAAAAAGAGAACAAGGGCTCCTAATGCTAATTCAGCCGCACGAAAAAGGTACGTTTATCTTGCCTGGAAATCATCATATTCCTGCACCAATATCTGGGGAAGAGCTAGCTGCCTTTGCGTCTACTCCTGATTCCATAATGCAAAAGGGGCTTACTTCCTTCCAGTCACCAGCATATACCTCTTGTTGAAAGCGCGCCATTACCATGAAGAAATTCGAACTAACATATTATTTTTTTTAAAGTAGAACGAATACTGTATCATCGAACGCGGGCTCTTCATCCGTTTCCGGTGCATTGAACGTCTCTCAGCTCGGCCACACTTCCAACAGTCCTGCACCAGCATCTTCCCTTCGCGCTCAATCACGACCACAACAGAATCAGACTCCAGCTTCTCGCCAACGGCCGTCTTCGTCTGCTTCAAATCGCAACCCTAGTATGTTTTCTAGAGCTTACAAAGTATTTTCTTCGATAATACATTATCTGACACTATAATGATAGAAAAAGACCTGTTAGATGCCAGACCTCCATCCGCGAAAGGTGCAGCGAGTCCCAGAATTGACACATTAGCAAGCAGATCAAATGGAGATAGCATTAGAAACAGCCCAAAGACAGCTGCCCTTGAGCTCAAACATGAAGACACTAGCTCCATGGGTCCTGTAGGAACCTCTAGCCACATGCATGATGGTAAAGCGGACTACTCGAACCTCCCGGAACTGAACACCGGTGTTTCCACAAAACGCTCATCCAAGAACTCGACGCCGGTTTCCTCCACATATGCCGAGTCACAGCAAAGGTCACGCCCATCTAGGACGGGCGATGGCCCTAAGCGGTCTCATAAGAAAACCGGCAGTATATCAACTGCTCGGCAGATGGCTTTATCCGCGGCTGCCGATGAAACTGCTGATGAACCTCGCGGTGCAGAAGGAGATGACCCAATGGAGCCACGTTACTGCTACTGTAACGAAGTCAGCTTCGGAGAAATGGTAGCATGCGATAACCCGAACTGCCCCAGGGAATGGTTCCATCTCTCATGTGTTGGATTGACCAAACCACCATCCAAGAGTGGTGAGTATTTATTTTCTTTGACATAACTAGTTACTACGGACATGGCTAATTTTCCATTTAGTTGTATGGTACTGTAACGAATGCAAGGACGGCGCGAGAAAGGCGAAATCAGGCAATGGGAAGTAGTACAAGTCTATCTTCTTTCGTTTTTGGAGTTTCTTGGTTATTTCATTGCGTTACGATTGGGCATAGTTTCAAGGCAACAGGAGGCGGCGGCTCTAGTTTATATCCAGCGTTATAGGCGTGTTCGCTTTTGCTAGTTTGACATATTATCAAGCGTGATACTCGACCTATTATTAGCCTTGGACTTTGTCTCTACTCTATTTTTTTCGCGCTACATTTTACTCGGTGGATATATATTCATTATTGAATTATTATTGAATTTTGTACATGCTAGATACTCAGAAGGTCCCCCTAAACCGGTCTAATATCTGCCCAGCCAGTGGCCTTCGCTGCTCTACTTCTTGCGCACCACCAGCCCCGCCGCCAGCACTACCTGTGCTTCTTCTGCCCCCATCCGTATCTGTGCTGGCAACAGCAACAAAGGCAGCTCTAGATTCACCCTCTAGCCGTCGCCGTAGCCCTTCTAACCGCTCTGGATCTCTGCTTCCTGTCCCAGAAGAGGAAGCATCACCATCACCCCTATTTCTTGGAATTCCACGCCGTCTCTGACGTTCCGGCGAGCCACCATATATCCAACCCGGTATTCTCCATGATGATATCTTGCTTGGAAGCAGCTCAGCACGCCATGCGTAGCCGACCACCCAGCCTATGAATGCCGGTAGTATAGTGTGGGGCAATTGCGATAAGGCCAGCTGGAATGCAAGGAAATATATCGTCGATTTGTCACTGAATGTAATGGCTGGTCCATTACCCGATGAGCCGGTTAACAAACGGTACTTGTATGTCGTGGGGATAGTAGCGTGGTACTGCGCAAGTATGGCGAAGAGAATTGCAGTTGGTCCAGCGGGGAGATGGTTCAACGTATTTAAAGATAGCGGGCGGACCACAATCGTGAGAATAAGAGGAGGGAGGAGAGTTGTAAACGGAAGGGTGCTAAGAATAAAGCTCTATAGTATGGTATAGTCAGTAATTGAGTTATTTCACCTATCATCCTTTCAGGGATCCTCACCGCGAACTTCCTCGATCCCCATAGCCGTTCTATGACTCGTAAGCTATAGATAACCATTCCCGCTTGTAGAACCTCCGTTGAATTGGTATAGCAGAGCTGTTGTGACCGAATTAGTATATCAATTACTCCAACGGCGCTTTAGGATGATACGGAAGTCAAGGGTATAATAATAGCGTACCGGCCAGATTAAAAACCGCCAAAGCTGATGATACTGCCATATGTGTGGATTCACTTGGATGTAAAACAGGTATTTGGCATCTGCAATGCTCACCAGTATCGATGCAGCAATGATATAGACGAGAGCCAATTTGGTCACCGGCGCATTCGTGAATCCGGAGCTGAGCATCCTGATGCGTTCTTTCGCCTCCTCAGGTTTACGTCGCTGTTTTTTTCTCGATCCCGCGGCCTGCAGTCAAACCAGAGATTTAAATTTGCAGTAACATGTTATGCTAGACGCTAAGAACCCAGCGTGTCGTGTCGTGTTTGTGTTGTTTGAAGTATTGATTGCTTCATCGAGAGCGAAACTTGCCAGATGGGCCGAAGTGGTTTGATCCGCACGGACCACCGGGATGTCACTACAATTAGAGAAAGCTTAAAGTTGACGTTTGAGGATGATGTAGATGTTTTGATATTGGTATTTGATATGATATTTGATATTTGATATTGCTCATGATGATATCTAGAATAAATAGCATTGCCTCCAATATAGAATGCAGCCAGACTCCGAATTCCTCAGAACCCCTTTTTCAGTGTCCAAAGAAATGATGCACCGATGCTAAAATCAAGACTGTCCCTCTGCCGTCTGCTGCGCAAGGGCTTTTTGATACTCGGCTGTGGCCTTTGATAACGCATTAATAGTTGGGCCCATAAGCTGCTTGACAACCTTTTCGCCGCCATCAACCTCGGCGAGACGAATCCTCCTACCCGTAGAAGCCATTACCTCTCTCGCATGTTTCTTGAGCTTGTCAAGTTCGACCTGCCGTTCTGCTTCGGCTGCCTTTGCAACCTCGTTTATTCGATCCATGGCTCTGTTAAGTGATTCCACCATTGATGCAATCTCAGAAGCTCGATCAGGGTTTCCCGACAGAAACGCATTCCAAAATTGAGTTAGAAACTCAGTTGTGGTGGCATGCGTCAGAGCTAGGCGATCAAAGATTGTTTGTGAAAGGCCACAAGTACTCGAAGAGGACTCCGGGTCTGCCTGAGCCTTTCGTTGCCCGATTATTCCAAAGATCTGGGATTTGGCACTTGCTAGACTTGCCTTTGAACCAACCGGTTCTTTCTTGGGCTTTGATTGCTCTTCATCACTGCTATCCCCATCCTCAGGCTCGACAAGGCGACTTAGCTTAACTTGCGGCGTATCTATGTATGTCCGACTGAAGTCTGACCGCAACATATCCAAGCTGGCTGTTGGATCTTGTTTCGCTACAATTTGCTCTTTCTTGATTTCACCAGCATTTCCTTCAGAAAAGAAGCGGCTTTGATCGCGAATATTCAACATGATACGCTTCTGTTCCTCTTGCTCCCGAAGATCTCGCAATTGCAACTCGTTATAGACTTCTCTGTCCGCATTTTCAGCGTTGGTCAGATGCTGGTCGGCTGGAGCCACATTCCTCATAATCTTTTCACTGAGGGAGTTCAAAGTCCTGATTATAGGAACCTTGTCTACCGGTGTTGGTCTCATATCAAAGGAAGGTCGATTACCTTGTCTTTGAGAGACATTTTCTTCATTTCCTTCTAGATTGATAAGATGGGGCACCCGTTCGAATTCGTTAGCAGGCTGTCCCGTATTCTCATCATACTTCAGGTATTTATCAAGTAAGGAGTCCGTCGGGTCAGCGTCCGTTATCCGCTCGCCTCTCAATTTCTTGAAAAGGCGACTCTGGAAAAATTGAGACCAGAATATCTCCTCTGCCACCTTAGGAACGTTCTCATCGTAAACTTTTTTAACTAACGGATGCTGGCTGAAAATCAGCTGGATCTGTTCCTTGCTCAAATTAAGCCTTCGCTTATCCTCAACTCGCGGCTTGACAGTTGACAATACGTTATAGGCTCCTTGTTCCTGAGATTTTTCTATAGCATGGGCCCGCAGCAGGTGTATTCGAGAAGACCAAAACTGAGATACAAGCTGCCCGTGTGTAACTGAAGCCGGCTTTGCTCGCAGAGACTCCGCAAAGACACGCTTTAGACCTTCGTTAGAATTCAACAGAGACTGCTGCAGAGCCATGTCGGCTTTGAGGCGATTATCGTCGTACCATGGCGGTTTCGCAGCTGCAGGCGCCGTGGGTGTGCCATCGCGTGCCGGCGTCTGGGCTAACTTTGTATTTTGAATGATAGTATTCAGAGCTTCCTTGATCGCATCAGCCTCGGCGCGAGCATTAGAGGGCGAGGTAAATGTAAAAACGTATGGAACCGGAGCTGCGCTTTCCTGGCTCTGGCCTTGACCTGGCGGTGGTCCTTGGACAAATATTTTCAGCATAACCTTCGGGTTATTAACGGGAGTCTGCTGTAAGTCTGGTCAAGACAATCTTCCATGTTAGCCAACAAAATCATGACTCCCGCTCCCCACGTCTGCTGCTCATAGCACCTGGGCGCAGCTGGCAACATACTGGTGACGGACGCTGTTTGCAACGACAACAAGCTATCTGACCCATTTTTAGGAGTCCACGTTATAGACTGAAGATCGCTCGATATCGCCAGCGTTCCATCCTTCTTCTTGTAAGACGCAGATGCGCTGGGAGAAGTCGGTGCCATGGCTCACGCCTGGTGCAAGCTACTTTGGCAGCTCCCACTGTGCTGTACGGCGTTGATCAGATGGCCTGGACCCATCTGGAGGGCAGAGCTGCAGGTCGGATTGAAACAAATACACGGGCAGAGAGACAATTCGTCTGCAGCGTTGACATTGCTGCCTTTCTTTCGCAGTTGGTCGTTTGGATCGAAGAAAAAGAAGCCAAAAAAAGATGTGTCACGTGAACGGTCAAGTTTGATAACCGGAAGGACGACGGAAGGGCGAATCTTCAGATTTGACAACTTCTTGACCAGCTTGCTGTCTTGATACCCACGGAGACGGATGATGGATAGAGACTAATGGGGCTTGTGACTGGCTGCCGGCTTAGGATACCCGTTGCATCAACCAGTAGGGAGGTGACCATTCACTATACATTGACAATTCACCAGTTAACCCCTACCTACATAGCTATCCGACATCCCCAAAGTTCTTGAATGTGATACCAGGATTTATTATTTGGTTACCAACCAAAATATGCTCAGAGAGATGCGAGTTCCTGGAGGCTGAAATCTGTTCTCCTGTAGCTACGCGCCCAGCCATGCGGCGCAGCCATCCACACAGGGCCTCCGACAGGGATTCAGCATCACCTGGACCATTCCAAGAGCACACGATATCCAACCGTTCATCTGCTTCGAGCCGCATGCCAGTACGACAACTCCGCTGCGGGCTTACTCTTTTGGCTCAGTCACGACGTGCCTCTGATGATAGGCTACATTTGTGACTCATCTCGATGTTTTCTCATTTCTCTGCGCGGCCCCCAACAGCCGCAGACCCAGGGAACCGGATCGACCTGTCGGATCACTACGTATCTGACCCGTCCTTGTCTCATTCAATGCACTGTCACTCTTTTGGCTGAATCGAGTGGTCCTCCTGGTTTGATATATACCAGGTGGTATGGCTACAACCCCTTGCCCTGCATGGAAGGCGTTACCCGCATTTTTTTTCCAGGATCTGTATTCGCAATCTATATTGCTGCCTTCTGAAGGTAGTAAAGTAGATTGTGTACATACAACGGGAGACTCTACGCGCCCGTCATGATATACCCCTGGTGGAAGGAGGGGGAGGTTGGTTTATTTAAACCAGCCTTTCGCCCTCACTCTTGAGGAGATGATTCCATGCAATTACACCCTGCGGATACGATATTACATTATCAAATTTGCCATTCAACCAAAAACACAGACCCAATCAGCGGCAAAGAGGTTAGTTGTCTTTGACACTACCGAGTCCAAACACCCTCTTTGAGCAGTCATGGCCCCCACGCTCAAACCAGAGGAGTTCCTCCTCCCCATCACTGTCATCAGGGTTACCATGCACACAACCGGGTACTTTTTTGAATCAGATACCCGTAGTGGAAATCATGCCTCCATATTTCTCCTCACAGGCAATGACAAGTCTGTGCGACTGAATATGACTAAGGCAGGTCCTACGGATACCATGGGCACATATGCCGAAACCCGGTGTGAATATGAATCATCACACAGCTCCCTCCACGATATCGACATTCCAGCAGTTACAGGGCTGACTGTCGATCATGTTACCCGACTTATCCTAACAAAAGGACGCCGCAACTACAGGCTAGCTCCTAGTGGAGTAGGATGTCGATTTTGGGTGTAAGTATCCTAGAAATATGACTACCCTCAGTCCATTAACGTAAGGATAGGAAAACTATTATCGAGGATTTGGAGGGTGCCGGTTACATTCACCCGAATGGCAAAGACGCTATCATGCAAGCCTATAATGACTTGCAGTACAATTACTCTCGAGACAAGTCCCCCGAATTCGAGGCGATAGTTCCTGGAGCTTTCGTGTAGGAACCTAAGGGGTAAAGTACAAGGACACATGTATGAACGGCAGGCATTAGAAAGACTTGAGTTTTCCGGCCCGGTGAGGCCCCCCTACCCCCTAAATTCACCTATACAATTTTTGAAATGGCTCATCTCAGAAGGATTATTGTCGGCATACCGCCTATTCAATTTATCTCACCTGAAAGATTAAATCATTCTTAAGAAAATAAACTTGGCCTCCTACTTATAATATCTCTATGGTAGAGAGCCATATAGAATGTTGTTAAAATCTCACTGCTGCCTATCTACAGAAGACTATGCTGCCTACATCCCTTACGTCTTACCCACTTGATTTCGAGATATACTATCATCTAAGAGTCCGCTGATTCTGCCCTAAACAAGAAGGCCGATATGCCCTAAGATAGGTAGTTAAACGAGTAGAGAGTCGAGAAAGAGTGAAGGGTTGATAGAGAGTGTGAAAAGGTTATTAGTTATATTATATCACACAGCTTGGAAATATGGGTACGAAAGAGCTTTGCCACAAAACCTGAGATTGACTGCTTCGCTATAGCTAGGTGCGAAGGGCAGTATTCAGAATTAATTTTAAATGATACTTAAGTCTCATTTGTCCGGTAAGGGTTCCACAGGTGGCAGAGGCGGCAACGGCGGCAACGATTCGATGTCAGCAAGAGTCCGAAGATTATTCTCGCGGGGCTCACTACAGAAAGGTTAGTCAACTTTATCATATTCCACTAAGCGTATTGACTCACAATATATAGCGCAAACTTGCCGCTCGAGCCCTCAAAATCAGCCAAACGCATTTTTCCTCGTCTTCAGATAGGTTTGCTTGGTTTTTAACGGCATTAGAGAGACTTCGGATGTAAGCACCATCATCATTGATACACTGAGCAGCAGCGACTTCATAGAACCGTGGGAAAAAGCCGGAATGACCCCAGTCAAGCAAACATAGAGATCCGTCATCCAATAGCTTTATGTTCCGACGACAAAGGTCAAGGTGGCAGAGAACAAGCGGGTATGGCCGTAGGTTTATCTCCTTGTTAAGAAGTTTAAGTCGCCTGTTGAGCCAGTGATTCATATCATCAACGGAGTGAAAAACATCTTTTGTGCCATCATCCCCCCATAAGTATCCTTCAAGTGTCCCACCATTAATTTGTCCTGGTATAGCACCCCCAGATACTGTTGCAAGCTCGGAGACAATATCAGCGAGACGCTTAGAGATGTCATCATTGTTTAGGTCTACCTCTTCGAGTGTTTTCCCAGGGATATATTCCATAAAAATGTAGCCTATCGGCCATGAAGAGTTAGATTTCACTTGGAAGTAGCGGTAGACCCGTGGAACTCTAACAACCCGTCGATCGAGGTGTTGATAGGCATATTGCTGTGTCGCAGCCTCACCTGGGGCCACTCCATGCCCGCACTTTACAGCAATTTTGTCTGATATCCTTATCACTGGCCTCACATACGGATCGTCGTGGAGGTGGGTGGGTTTCTGGGCTTTAGCCTGCTCGTAAAGGTATATAAGCCATGATTCTGGTAGGACAGGAACCAGCCACTCCAGATAATCGAAAGGCATGTCAGGCCAGTAGTGAGGCATCACTCCTCGACATGGCTGACCGTATCTGCTTGAACTCGCAGTGAATTGCAGGCAGACGTTTCAAGATCGACGTCCGCGTTTAACAAAAGGAACAGCCTTGCACGTGACTGGCGACTTGAGCCTCCTCCATGCCAAGCTTTATATTGGGCCAGCCACCCAATCATAACGCAGGATCCGGCGGCAGAGTCTGATATGAGCTCGAACTTTCATTCCCACTTCTGGAGCCAGACGAGCTTAAAATATACGGAGTAGAAGCCATAAAGTATACCCAGTCAAGGCTTTATGAGTTTTATAATGTTTGTTAAATGGCTCTCTATCAAAAGAAACCACCCCCAATTGATGGCTCGGTTTGTGGGATTATCGTTGATCCGGCACAGGGCCGGGTAGAAGTTTCATAGGAAGGCTTGACAAATTGTGACTGTTCCCTAATTACTGGAGATAGTGGGCGTTGTCTTGCATTTCAAAGCACGTTATGTTATACTGACGAACGATAATCTTCCTCCATTCACATTAATCATAACTGGCTAGCTAGGTCCTCAACCTGTGACAGATATTCTTGCCTTAAACATGCTTGACTCCAATGATCAGCTTCCCCGAGACTGGCTGTGCTATGAATGTTTCAGTTTGTTCCATGCTATCGTTTCCAACGACAAAGGTAGTATAGTTCGTGTAAAGTGCGGCAATGGCGAGTTTGATATCTTAAACAGACAGACGTAGGTCAGCCAAGGGCTCTTGAACACAAGGGGATTGCCGATAGACATATTATTGAAATTTTCAAATTATACATACCCTGAAGAGCAAAGTTGCTTCCCAGACACATCCTTCCGCCGCTTCCAAAGGCCCAGAAGAGTCGTCGCATCTTTTCAAGGTGCGTTTTATCCGCTTCAATCCATCTATGGGGCTTCCAGCTCTCAGGCTCAGGGAATACCTCTGGGTTTCGGTGCAGTGTGTATGCGGAGGACATTACTCGGGTGCCAGCGGGTATCTGGTAGCCTTCCAGTTCTACTGGTTTGCCAGCGGGAACAACCCGAGGTAATGGGAGCGGTGCAGCAGGATATACTCGAAGAGTTTCATGCACGATGCCATTAAGCAAGGGGAGTTCATCCAGCGCATGGAATGAAGGGAGTCTGCTGCCCTTTTCCTTTTCGGCATTGGAAGATTCCAAGGTGCTGTCTTGTTTATAGAATATCGGAGGAGACAAGGTGAGCAGTTCTTCTCGTAGCTTTGCTTGTAGTTCAGGGTTCTGCGACAATTCATAGACGATATAAGTTAGTGTTATCCCGGTTGTTTCGTGGCCGGCAACTATATGGTCCATCATTTCGGAGGCAACTCGGAACCTGGCATCAGCCTTTTCAGCATCACTGTCTGGGTTGATCTGAGAAAATATGCCGTTGAAGAGTTGACCGTATACCACTGGCTTGGTTGAACCGGTCTTGAGCTCGGCCGCCCCCTTCTCCTTGCACGACAATTGGCTCGCAACTTGATCACACATCTTAAGGCAGAGGTTCTCAACCTCTCCAAATGCTCGTTGCTTTGGGAGCTGTGTCTTGAACACGGAATATAGCTTCAGCCAGTGGTCTCGATACTCAGTGTCACGGAGGAAGTCTGTACTAGCATCAATTCCGAAGAGATATGCTGTCATAAAATCCATACCCACAGCCTGGAAAGGAGGGAAGACGTTCAGCGTCTTTTCAGGGCCCAGTTTCAGTCTTTCCTCCTCACGATCAGACGGGAACGACGATGGCAGTGCAATTCTTTCAAACATGGGCAGATATCTCTCCCAGATCAGCTTTTCAGAGGCGACTCTCAGATCCTCCGAGGCTAGGATGAAAGACTTTGAATAGACTCGAGACACCATCCTCTTCTGCTCTGAGTGAGCCTTGAAGGATAGCATGCTGGCCAAGTTGGGATATCGCTCATAGTTCATGAACAAGTCTTCATAATAGTTGTCCTTGGGGAACCCGCCGAGATATATGGTCTTGAGCCCGTTGGCTGAGTTGACGCTGACTTCGTTCGGGGCCAGCTGGACGATCGGCCCCAGCTTCTTGTGCAAGGCATAGATGGTCGATACTTCACGGCATCGGTAGTTGCGTATCCACCATAGCCATGTGGGAAGAAACGGAGAAGTGAAGTGCGCTTTGGGGATCCGGGCCAGCGGCGAGAAGTATATGGGGTAGATGATATATCGGTACACGCAGACCGCGAGGACGGGTATGGCGAGTAGGTAAATCATGACGATGGCCTCCCACTTTCCCTTTCTCTAGTAACAGAGATGGCTGACTGGGAATAGCGTGGTGTTGCTGTGCGTTGGATATCTCGCTCTCGTCAAAAAGGGGGCTTGTCTCCAACTCATATATATAGAGGTGCATTCCCATATAAACCCGTCACAACCCCCGCGAAAAACAGGCCCTGCGGAAAGCATAACTAAAATAGCCAAGGTATTCCTTGCACTTTCTTATAAACCAGCCATCTAACCGGAGATGTAGATAACGAGCGGCCAGAGCCTGGAAAAGCACGCCGTTGATTCGACGTTGGTACTTTCGCTCGATATCCCGTCCTACCCTCGCATAATATGTATATGTATCACATCCACCCCGACCCAGTGCACAATTACGCCAAAAGTCTTCCATATGGCTGTACAACACCGGCCACGCTCCAGAAACATGAAGTCCCGGCCTGTATCCATGGCAGCTCATGTGGGAATCTGCTATCGTGGCAGCTCCGCCATCATGCAGAATCCGCGGAAATACTTTCCCCCTTGATCGAAGCTCCAGGCATATCCCCCAACCTGCGCTGGGTCTTACAGTGCTGCTCCTTGTGCTAAGAGGAGCAATCCGTATTATTTTAGCCGTAAACTATAATAACTGGAGCCGTTGTATTTCTTTTTGTGATTTTTTGCTTTGTTTTCATTTGATATTCAGCTTAATGAATGGGGGGAGCCAACGGGCGAGTTTTATATAGTTCCCGCTCGAACCACAAAACCAAGAGCGCCCGTTTTATATAGGTACAACAAGAAAGGGGTAAAAGAGTCAAAGAGGAAAGAATAAAGTCGCAAAACAAGCCACCTTCGCCGTCCCGAATTGCCGATTTCGGGATACCCAAGTATATATGAAGTGGGAATGTTAAGAGAGGAGAAAAAGTGGAAAGGGGGAAAAGAATGTAAATGCAAAACACAGATACCAGCCATCGTGAGACCTCAGGGCTTGACAGGCCTCCTCACAAGAGAGCTTGGAGGAACATATGTCTTCTTGCCATAGGCGAAGTAGTAGACGGTCGCAAACAAGATGACTGACACGTAGATGACCGAGCTCCAGTTCATCGTCGTGGCGTTTACCTCCTTAGTCAATGGGAAGAAGGAGAATATAAACAGCGGGAGGAGGAACAACATCGCTGCAGCGTTGATGAACCCTCCATATTTGCCAAGAGACCAGCGCCGTGAAGGGAGTGCTTCACCGCGAATGCGTTTGAGCAAAATGCACCCGATGGAGATCAGATACGCACTCATCAAGGAGGCGACTGTCAGAGAAGTAATGGCATTTAGGGCGGTAGTTGAGCCAACGTTGATTAGTGCCAGTAAGATAGTCACAACTAGCGAGACTATCACGGCGTGAAGAGGAATGTTCCATGATGGATTGACCTGGTTATTAATTGTAGCGTGTCAGCAGGGAACAGACAATTAAAAATCTGGGTAGCCATGCAGAACGTTAACGGGGTAATTAGATTTTTTTTTACTTACGTGGGACAGAAAATCAGCAAATGGCACCCCCCTATCCCTGGCAAATGACCAAGTCTGTCTGGAAGCAGTTGCCACTTCGGTGATAGTGCTTGCAACGAGTGTAATGACGACGATCGATGTCATGGCATTGGTTGCTGCATGACTGTGGGTAGCGTTGAAGAATATCTGGATAAACGGGAATCCTGTTGGACTTGCAAGGACTGCATCGATATCTCCGGCGGTAAAGCATATGGTGAGAATAACAGCCAGGCCTAGAACGAAATTGACGCCCACAGCACTCATCATGGCTTGGGGAAGTGTTTTCGATGCATCTTTTATTTCCTCGGCTATAGCGTAAAGGGAAGGTATAACATATCAGCAAGTTGTCCGAGGGATAAGGCAGCTATTGCAGGGTTTCTTGCATGAAGAAGTGTACGTACCCATGTGCACTGCACAGTCATAGCCTATCATCGACGCAATGGCTGGGGGCAGCCCAACCATGACCGCGACCCCTGCAGTACTCCATCCTCCGCCGTTGTTGAATTTCGTGAAAACAACTTCGGCGCTGCTGCGGGGAGCAAGTACCACGAGTGGTACAATGATTGCAATTATACCGATTATGTGAAGCAAGAGAAGAAGAGCCTCTACCAAGGGGAGCTTCTTCGCAAGGAAAGTGTTGAATATGATCGAAAATGCTGAGATGGCAATGACCAACATCGTGCCATGCCAGCGCTGGGGAATGTACTCTGGTAGATTTAATACCAACAGGCCCTGGATAATCGTTCCGGCCAAAAATGCAATTGTAACGATAGCGCACTGCCATCCGGTCGAGCATAACCAGCCTGTGATCATTTCTTAGGAAAGATAGAACGGAGACATAAGGTGTAAAATGAGGCTCTTACCTGTGATATAGCTAAGATATTTTTGGCAGCTCGGTGGGGCGAACTCGGAAACCCAGTGATACTGACCACCAGCCGTAGGGGACCTGATTGCAGTCAGCACGATGCAAGGATGTAAAACAGGAGCAACAGAGAGAACTCACATTGAAGCTATCTCTGCAAGACTTGCGAATACCAGTGAGAAGCCGCATGAGACAGCTAGAAACCCCCAAATAAGACCAGCCGTGCCCCCGTCAAGTAAAGCAAATCCGAGAAGACTATTCTTGTCAGTTATTTATCCAAGCTGTAAAATTGAATGAAGAGAGCTCTGAAGAATAGCAAACCGTACCTTAACACCACCTCCCAGGTTGCAATCAGCGTACATGCGAATCCGAGAATAGAAACGAAACGGAAATTTCTCTATAATAAGGATGGCAGATTAATTTTGGTTCCTGGAGAAAAAAGTCAATGGCTGAATGCAAAGGAGACTTACTCTCAAGACCTGTGTCTTTCCCAGCTGGCACATATCATCTCGATCTCGAGACGTGCCCATATACTTGGCTGGCACATGCTGATGCTGTTCGTCATACGTGAAGGCTTCCTCTGGATGTCCAACACTCTCCTCAGCGCTCTTCAACCGCTTTGTCGAAATAGAGTCGGAAGACATCTTTGCTTAGGTCTGTCTGGGATGTCCAGATACAGCACGATATCTCTCCCTGAACTGATTGATATTCACAGCTTCCGGGGCAAAGGGTGGGAGCAGAATAGAGTTTTAGCCGTTGGACCCTCAAAGACGGGGATGGGTAAGGTAACCGTCAGACTGGAAGGACGGAGCAAGGGAGTGAGTGGTTGGGGAACTGGAGGTTGCGAAGGAATGAAATCACAATGATGATGGATGAAAAGAGGGCGAAGATCGGAAATTTTGAACAACGTGGAAAACCTGCAACATTGACAGGAAAAGAAGAAAAACCTGCCCAATATTAACACCATCGTAAGTTCAATAATGGGGACACAGGCACCACGGGGCGAAGTGACCTCTCTTAAAAATAATGTTACGAGGTATAGCACTATGTTGTTATCGTGGGCTGGAATGGTTATTTTCCAAACTAAGGGATGGGGGGGAAGAGAAGGGATGGAAAAAGGAAAGAGGAAGCATAACGACGATGCGGGTATCCCTCGAGGGTCCCAGCCCATGCAAGGAAATAAACTCGTTGCGCATACTAGGGGTGCCTGTGGAATGGCTGATCCCAGAGTCGATTTGTTGCATGGCAAAGACACGAAGCCCGGCTGAAGAGCCAAGTCTCTGTTTCTCACCAGCCCAGGCCAGGAGTTTAGCCACTGGGAGACGAAAATAGCACTCTGCACAGCGCTCGGTACGCCATGAACTATTGACAGCGTTGGCTAAGCGATATCAGAGCTCTCAAAGCGCACGCTCTCAGGCTTCCCACCAAGCGCCCGTCCGCAGGATTCACCGGCCAAACACGAGCTGGACCCGGCGGAAAGAAAATGGGTTTTCGACTATCTTGACCCTTGCCCCCTAATCAGAGTAATTGAGTGAGGCATCATGGCCAACCGGGAGCCGAGCCAAGCGTCGATCAGATCTGATCAGTCCTCTGCCCAAAGGACAGAAGGCGTCCTTGTCAACCGCCACGAAGCCAACTTAAGCCCTTTGCCCCCCCTGATGGCCACCCTGGGCCATCACACACCATAGCGCTGGGAGTCCCGTCCCGTGCGCATAACGGATGTCTGCATCCGCGCTCCTTGCCCCCTTGCTCTTTTTTCTCCATCCCGCGGCTGGTCCAGCTGTGGGACAAAGAATCTTGTTCGGGGGATGCGGTGCGACTGGTCGGATGGCTGTTGATTCGTAAGTAGCTATGCGAGAAGTCTTTATTCGAGCCAAATAACCCTGGAAACTCTAACGGCCTTCTGCGATATTAGGAAAACTTTGCACCCGTTATCCATACCGATATCATCCTCTCGCATGGTCAAACGGAGCGACGAAATGGCCCCTCCAGGCTGTTCCTCCATTGCCGTGACATGGTTGGAATGTGGTTGTGTCGTTGATGTTGCTCGCTGAGCTCGTGATAATTACAGAGTGTATGGTATTGATGACTAAGTAATAAAAACAGACTTTAGGCCAATAGAAGGTCCGAATAAGATAAATACATCGTATATCGCAATACGCGATACTCCCTTCGCTCAATCTCATCTCAATCGCCCCAGCATGGAAAGCTTCGTCTTCTCGACTCGAGGACGACGACAGAGGATTGACTGACTCCGCTACGATTCGGTATTCTAGACCTGTTAAAGAAACATGCGAGCTCACAAACATTAAATTGCCTCTCCCAAGAATGTTTCTAGATCCAATCCACGAGGAGAGACGGCGATTTTCAGGGTCGACCCCTCTGGGTCTTGAGCCTCCGAGAGCCAAGGGATGAGAAACTATTGCGGTTGAACCCTTTGTAGGTGACAGATCCCAAGTTCTCCATACAGACTTCGCCTGAGCGTGTTATTCGAATCTATCACCTTTCTCTAGGCGAGATAAGGGCCCCGTGTACCCATCGAGACTCACTCGCAGTCTTAATACCAGGGAATCTACGGAGTATCTGTGAAATAAGGAACACTATGTCTGAACCAGGATTTGAACCAAAAGTACTCTGTTGTACTCCGTACACTGCATGGAGAGGCTAAACCGGTTGTCTGCAGAGAGACTGATGCAGGCGGTGTGCTAAGCTAGCTCAGATACTGGGAATCCCAGAAAAACCTCTTCCCATGACTGGAAGATGGCATGCTGGCTGACACCAATCGATGACCAGGATTGACAACAAGTCTTTCCACCAGGCAGTATCCAGTCTGGCTTTCAGATAACGGCTCGACCAATACTAAATCCCAGCTCAGCATTCAAGGGAGGGATGGAAGCCTGAGGCATATTTTCCTACCTTAAATAACCTTATAAAATTAGGAGGAGACCAAGCATGTGAATGCTTCCTGCTAAGCCGCAAATGGAAGAGACTCGCAGGCACAGGGTAATAGTAGGAGATAGCCTTGGTTTTTCGACAATAGCAAGTCCATTTCAGAAGCGCAAGGAGGAAAACGCGGCTATGGAATATGACTGCTACTTGAGCAGCCCACAAGGCACCCCAGGCTGTTTAAGCCGCCCCTTGTTTTCCTGTTCCGGGTTTCTGGGCACACACACAAGCTGCACGTTATATCGTGGTGGAGTGCAGATACATGGCAGGGATTCTCCATGTCTTCGTACTAATATAAAGAACCTCATGGGTGTTTGAGTATGGATGTTTATTTTGCATTTTATATATTATCCAGAAGACGCAACATCGAGTCTGCTTTGTCTACTCCGTACATGGAACGGAACTCTAGCAAAACTAAGGTTTTAATAGTCCGGAGAGAGTTCCTTTCTTGGACCACGACGATAACAAGGGGAATCGCACGTCAGGTATTGAGGATGTGGGAGGTGGAAGCGCAGAGCTGGCAGATGGAGGAAGAAGCAGGTGAGAGCGGCAAAAATTGATGGCTGCGAGGCACAGGAGATAGACCACCAAGCCCCACGAATGAGAGGCTGGTTACACTGCAGAGCAAAAGCAAAACCCAGGGATCAGGTGAGTCTGGGGCAGGAATCGAACCCATCAGAAATAACGATACGCGGCCATCGACCTGTCGTCCAACTGCCGTCTGGCTCTCGCTTTTCAGCCCCTCTCCCCTTGCTTTTTCCCTGATGCAGCACGTTAATATCCAACTTGATTTGCAAGCGTCAACGATGCAGAGCTGACGGTGTTTAGTTGATGTGCCTACGCGAGAAAAAAGAACGGACGTCGGCTTTAGGTTCAGGGCCCCGATAAAACGACCCAGGGATCAGGATGAGTCATCAAACCTAAGCTCTGTCCATTAGGCCCACCTCCCGCTTTGCCGCCAAGGGATCCACTAGTGACCGCTACAGTTTAGTGCCGCTCCCCCCCTGTCGCTACCTCTTTGATAGTCGCTCTCTCGACGGGGAGGTCAAGCAAGATATCACTCTCGTCACCCCCTAAAATAAGACTCTCCTCTCCCCAAAAGAAAATAAAGAGCTCGGAGAAAAAAAAACAAAAATAGAACTGCCTGCCCAAGGACCAGGATCTGCCTCGGCTTGCATGCCTTCCGTTAACTGGCTATCGTAACTAGCCCGGAAGACGATCCGGCATTACGGTTTTCGCCTTTTTTTCATTCTTTGTGCAACTCTTGCCTGGAGCATGATGACCATACCAAGGGTGTATGGGCTGCATGTGTCGCATGCGCTGGTATACATATATACGGATCACGGAACCTAGCCCTCTAGTTTTCTCCCCTTTCCCTCCCGATTTTCGATTCTCAGATCTATAGTTATACGCTTGCGAGGCACGACCAAGACGAAGACATGTTTTGTTGCTCGTACCTTTGACGCTTGTTATATTCTCGCTTCCTTCGTGCTTCCTTTCCTCGGAATGGATAGCTCGTCTTGATTCTCACTGATCTTTGTCTTGGAGGGGAATGCGTGTTTCGTTTAAGACATTCAACAAGCGACTTTCCTGCTCGGATATCGTTTGCGACCCCTCCTAGTCGCCGGTGATCCACTATCAGCGACTACGATGGCTCTACTACCCTACCAGTCCCCGCCTCTCCTACCACTCGACTCTACTCACCGAGGGTCCCTGGTCGTCATTGCTGGCGCGATCGCAGGTGCCGTCACCTTGACCGGTCTACTGATCAGACTGTACATTCATCTTGCCATCAACCCACACTATGGGCGAGATGACTATTTTCTTCTGGGTTCAGCAGTAAGTATTTACTCTGTGACAATTATTAGTATGGCAATCCTTACTTACATACGGACTTCTAGTTTGTCGCTTTGTGTCAGTCTATATTAATATTCGTCTCCGTATCCAAGGGGTTTGGCACATCCGCCGACCTAATAAATCACGACAATCTAGTGACCTTGCGACGGGTAAGTAGCTACTCCTGATATACCCATATGGCCTCTGGGAGAACTCCAGCTTACTCTTTGTTAGGCTTTTTTCTCCAGCGAGATTCTATATCTCGTTACTCTTTACCTTGCAAAATGTTGTGTTATTTGCATATTTCTCAAATTGACTCCCAAGAAAACACATAACCGTGCTACCTTGGGAACACTTGTTTACTGTACACTATGGATTATTGGCTCAATCATGGCAGTCGGTATCAGGAGTGGTATTCTAGATACCCACACCGTCAGGGCCGTTAGCGTCTCCTATTGCAAACTCAAGGTAAGCTTCCCTCGATTTAGTGTCTAAATATGCATAGTAAAGGCTGACATATCTACCCAAGCTTGTCAAATGGCGATTCATCGTCTCCTTTGATGTTTTGTCCGAAGTGATAATATTTCTTCTTGCGGTCCACCTCATCAGAGAGCTTCAAATGCGATTTCGAACAAAAATCGTGGTCCTCAGCGCCTTTGCTGCCCGATTACCGTGAGTTTCATCTAGAACAGCGCAATTCGAAGATCTGACTAGTTAAAACTAATGCACACCCCCATAGAATAATAGCTCTAGCCATAATACGGCTTCATTACCTTGACATATGCGGTGAACAAACGAATCTCACCCTGGATCTAATCGATTCATCAGTCTGGACCCAAATCAGCCTGAACTACAATGTGATCGCCTGCACCATCTTCGCACTCAAGCCATTCACAGCAGCCGTAAGCACAAACTACGGCACAGCAGGCGACCAATCGCTACAAAACTCCAAAAATAACAGCAACGGAAGTACCGTTGACAACAGCTACTCTCGCGATCTTGAAAGTGGTACATACACATCGAGATCGAAAGAGCAAAGCTTCTCCAGGCCTTACACAGGTACAAGCTCACAACACGGTCTGAAGAAGCAAAAACCACGCAAGACTCAACTTTCTACATCTTTATCCCGATCATTGGCGGGCAAGGAGGCTAAGTCCGGCCAGCACTCTTTTCCTCGATTTTCACTCTTCTCTCCAACATCACCTACAGCACAACATCAACGTCTGAAATCATCGGACGAACATCATGAAATGACATCCATAAACGCGAATGCACCACCAGTGCCGTCGCTCCCACATAATCAAATATCCAAACACTCCCACACACGCACCTCAAGTCGTGGAGTCCGAGTGCCGTTCCTACATAGGGGCGAGAAAGGGGGTCCTGGGTCCTTTGATTCTCACGGCTCTGTCCCTGGAGCCGGGACGATACATGGGCCTGGCCCCATGGCGTCAGACACAATCATCGACCCGCCGGCTGCGGCTGCAACAACAATAACTACCGCTATCACTGCGGGGGGAGGAGATAGGACAGAAGCGAATCCTGAAGGGGATTGGAACGATGATAAAACCAAGTTAATTATCAAGAAAAATATAGAATATACTGTTCAGTACGGAGACTGAACCGTGTACACTTCTGTATATTCTTAGATAGTTGCAGTATGTACGTATGATATGATTAGCAATGATACCTGTCTTTTGACGCCAAGTTTTTTTTATCCGAGGATGGAGGGATATAGGCTTGAGTAAATATACTGATTAATTTGAGATAAGAACGACAAGTAAGAACAAAAGAATAATAAGAAACAGTCAAAGCAAGCGGAGTAGAGATACAGAATAACTATAGGGATATCATGAACTCAAAACCACAATGCCCATGATACACCATTATACACATCTGTCATGCAGAAAAATGATACAATAGGAGCACAGGAAAAAGGGATACTCAGACAAGAGGCAAAAGCATGCATGGGGAAAAATAAGAGTAGAGGAGGAAAGAAGAAAGACAAATAACTGACAAACTCCATTTCGCTTGCTCCTGGAACCATAGGTAAACCCAGACACTTTTTTGGTGGTTTGATTCTTGTTTTCCTTCCATTATTATGTTATGTTGTTTGTCATGATTTGGATAAGATGGCGTTTGGTTGATCACTTTTTGAACATGTAGTGTCCATAGATGCCGCCGACGTCGCCCACAGAGACAGGGATCTTGCGGGTTCCCCACCAATGTGCGCCCATCTTCCAGCTTCTCTGGCCGTCATCAACAGGCATAGAGGGATCGTCACTGGGCTCGCGAACATACCAGCCTCGCCTACCGAGTTCGCGGACAACCCATCCGCTACGGTTGTTGTTGGACTTGCTGCGAGAACGCAGCGGGGCGATGATACGCTCGCTCATCTCAATGACGAGTAAGGGGTAGCTCTGGGGAGTCACCAGCAAACAAGACTTGGAGTTGAAGAGCGCAGCTTGATTCAAGTACGGGTTACGAGTGAGGTCGAGGTAGCGGAGATGAGAGGGCTGCCAGGGAGTCGCGTTGGATGAGCCGGTTGCTGAAGATGGCGGAGGGGCAAAGAAGGAGTTGATGTCGTCGAGAGTGAGGTCTGCAGAGGACAGGCCTAATTCCTCGACATGCTTGGAGAGCCTGAGGAGGTCAGGCATGTGTGCGGAGGTGATACGGGCTCCTCCCAGGTTGAGAGAGCGGAGGGTGGATTTCAGGTGTGGTAGGAGATTTGGTACATCCGCCTCCTCGAGGATACGATGACGAGAAGCGTCGACCATGAGATTGAGGTAGACCAGAGAAGAGGTTACTGCCGGGTGGGTAGAGAGGAACCGGACAACCTCTGGGCCGGTGAGTTTGGTGCATCGCGAAATGTTGAGATGGGTGAGCCGAGCAGTGTACGGGATCAGGAATAGGGTGCTATTGCTGATCTGGGTATGAGCAACGTCAAGATGGGTGAGGTTGATAAGACGGGGAAGAAGAGACTGGAAGGCCTCGTCGGGCAGCCCAGTACATTCGTGAAGGGATATACGACGGAGATTTGGGAGGACACTGGGAAATTCGGGCTCCTGCGTGACAGCACTGAGGAAACCAGAGGAGAATTTGGCAGAGGAGCAGCCACAGAAGTCAATTGCGCGGAGAAGAGTCTTGGTGATGAAGATCTTGCGCACAACATCTCCGTCCACGTCGTCCTCGACATGTTCCTGAAGAAGCAGCTCCTTGAGATTTGGCAGTAGGTCAAGGCACTGGAGCAGAGTCTTTGCAGTGAGGTTCTGGATTTCAACGTTCATCTGCTGAGTGCGTCCGAGGCCAACAGAGGTAAAGTGTGAAAAGTCCAGTCGTCTGACAATGGTGCCTAGAGAGGGATACTGGCGAATATGGTTAAGAGCCTTGGAGAAGATGATGGAGTGGGGAATGGTGATGTGCCTGTATAGCACTCCCAGGGTAGCCGAGTGCAGAGTTCGGCAGGTCAACAGGCAGGATATCAAATCGACATTTCGAGGAGTATACCCGTTTGGTGGAATATCCAGAGCCAGGTGTGATATAATTTCGTCCAGTATCTCAACCGGCAGTCTCTCCAGACAGGCTCTCTTGGTCACCCTGGGAGCAGGACGACGCATTTCTAGCACATCTTCTTGGTCCTCATTTTGCTGTTGCTGTTGTTGCGCCTTTGGCGGTTCCGGGTTAGGGACTTCTTCTTCCCATGCCCATCCTCTGGCCTGGGTTCCTCCAAGCAGACGAAGGTCGCTGTAGCTTCTGCTCAGCTTTCTCCCGCCGAGACGAATCTGCTTCCATCCTCGAAAGGTTCCACAGGGGCAGCAGAAATCGGGGATGGGAGCCTTGAGCTCTTTGGCCTTGCTAGCTGAACAGTCAGCGGCATGCGTCTTGTCACCGGAAGAGTTGCTTTCCTTGGTATCAACAAAGGACTGAGCGATTCCTGCACACGTATCATGATCGAATTAGCCTGGACTCCGCGGATATGTATATGACCAAATTCTTAAAAGAACGACACAGAAAGGAGATGTACCGGTGTTGTCTTCCTCGATGGAGCCAAAGGAGGCACCTCCGATGCTGCTGGAGCGAGAGTGTGAACGAGCCTGGGAGCTGAAGGAGTCCTGCCTCTTGTGAGCGGCTGCTATCTTGATATCTTCCACGTCATCGGCATCGGGAATATCGATATCATTATCCTGGTCAAGGGCAGAGACGGGCAGCGCGGGAGGATGAGGGCTGGGCTGGTGGGCGAGGTCAGAGGGAGTCATGCTATGGTACGGGAGAGTATACTGGATGGTAATAGTTTTCTATGTGCCGGCCCGGTCTATAGCTCCAGATAATGATGATTAGTACCGCTTCTTCTTGTTTTTCTTGATTTTCTGTTTGATTCTTTCTTTTCTTTGGCTGGTAGCTTGAGCTGGAGTGGCGGTTGTTGGTGTTGATTGTGGCTTTTGGCTTGTGTAGTAAATTTTGGCCGCAAAAAGAAGAGCAGAACAAGAGCAGAGAACAGAGATGAAAAAGCAGAACAGCTACTAGGTTTTGTTTCTTGTCTTTTCGTTTTCCTTTTGCTGTCCACTTTCTTCTTGATAGATTGATCTTTTTCTTTGCTTTGCAGTATCAACCTGACAACAGAGAGAAGAGTAATAAAATAACAGGATAGGAAGAGGCAACAGGAAGGTACAGATATGAGCGAAGAGTCCAGCAGCAGGCAACACAGGACACCACGTAGGCAGAGATAGACACGGAGACGGAGGACAACTGGAGACTCTCCCAATATATCTGCGAGACTGACGCTCTCTTCTCTCTTCTCTCTCTCTCTCTCTCTCTCTCTCTTTCGTTGGTTGGTTGTGTTCTCTTGGGTTGGCTGGACCGCGTCTTTCTCGAACTGTCTATCTATACACGACCTCCGAGCCAAGCCGGTGCAGTGCCTTATTGCTATCCCACGGACAAACAGGAGACGTATATGCAGAGGTATAGGGGTGGCAGAGACAGGGAGGAAGCGGAAGCGGAGGAAGAGGTTGAGGCGAGAGGATCTGATCCTCAGGCAAGGAGGCGACTGACTTGGAATACCTGATAAAGTAAGCAGACGTACAGGATATTGTATTGGAACAGATGGTAGAGTAAATAGAAGGCCAGGCAGAAGCTGATAAGTAAACAGACGAAGTGAAAGAAGAAGAAGAAGACGAGGATGCCTGGAGTTGCAGTGGAAGAAGATGAAGTGTCATCTAGCAGGAGGAGAAGAAGAAAAACGGCCAAGGTCGCATAGTGGAGGGAGCTTTTGGGCGTCACCTGACATGCCTGAGGCCGTCCCCGTACCGTCACTCCCATAACGCCGAACTATCTCCAGCGACTACAGCCTGCACCGGCATAGCACAGCGCCAGAAAGGGAGTCACACCGCTCTCGGCGCTGCCTGTGCAGACTATTGCCTGTCTGCGCCGTCCTCGTCGAGCTAGCCCTTCTGCCTGGCCCTTTGTCGGCGGCTTATGCTGCAGCGAACCACCCCCCAAGAGCCGCCGAGCGCAACGTAACAAAAATTACCGGCTGGTACGGCGGGCGCACTTCTGGTGTAAAACTCTAATTAACCGCAGGGTCACGCTAGTCCTGATCGGGAGACGGCCCACTCCGCCGGTTTGGATGACATAATACTCCGTACGCAGCTCGTCATAGTCGGCGGAAAGCAGAGCAGAGAAAGGATCAAGTGGGAGAAGCAGAAGAAGGAGAAAAGACAAGCAAGTAGATATGTTGAGGCCGTACGGAGTAGACACCGTGAGACCTGGTTTAGCAGGAAAAAGATAGTACAATAACGAGTGGAAACCTTCTCCATCTTCTTCTCTCTCCTTTGTTTTGTTTCTGTGGAAATTGACTTTTTTGGGACTGCGGGAGACCAAGCTTTGTCACATGACCTGGTCTAGCCCTAGCTATTCTATTTATCTTTTTCCATCTTCACGTCTTTGTTGGAAGAAAAACATCGTGAGAAGTGAGAATCTCTTCAGATGTTGATATCAGATGCTGCTCGGTACCAGATTGGGCCTGCAGTGTTACCAGGGTAAAGGCGAATTTCGATGTCGACCGGCCAAACCCTGCATCTCTGCGCTTACCCTCCCTGTATCGTCACTCCTTGGAACCCCCCTGGATCGCTCGACTAGGACCTTGGCTCTCTGCAAGCCAAGATCAATAAAATCGACCTCCTCACTACGGAGTACCACCTGTCTGGCTATTCACTGTCCACGGCTAGTTACATGATAGCGCTTTGGAGCCGGCAGCTCAGCTCGACTGCACCTGGTTCTTTTTCCGTTTGTCTTGTTCCAGATGTATAGCCGGGTACCTGACGGCCTCGTGACAACCTTCAATCCACGATACTGCTATAGTTCGCCGTGATAGGATCGGCTTGTGCCTCCTGCGTCATCGCATGCAAACTGACGTGTCACCAAGTCAAAGTAGCCATGGCAAGGCGCTGCTTTCTCGAGAAAAACAAAGCACATGGCCACCAGGGATCAGTAATGGGCGTACAGGGTATACGGGGCTGTGTTACCCTCGCTGTCAACAACGTCAGTTCTGGAGTACTCCGTTTGATAGAGATAGAATAGATCTAGAAGAGATTGTCTCTTCTAGACAATTAGTTTATGGAAAATAGAAGTGATAAAAAGGTATCTGAATTATTAATGTGGCCTCAATGTCTGCAATTTGTCCTGGTATCAAAAAGTTATCAAAAACCCCCATAACTCCTCCCCCTGCCCGAGGGATCAATTAGCTGTCTCTCACGAAAAACGCGCCAATGCTTGATCGTAACACCAAATCAAACCCTGAATCAGAATGCCCTCATGAGAGAATCAAATAAAGAAGCCAAGATGGAATGAATTCAGTATCGCACTGCCCTGCTCAGCCCTCTTTAACTCAAGTTTAATCTTCCCCCCATGAAGATAAAATAGTCCTTTCTTCTTTCTTTTCCCTATTACGGCTCTCACGACCCCTGGTACGCCGTACGACGCATTGCTATGATTTCGTTTGCTTCCTGAGTAGCACGGTTGGGTAGCCAAGGCCGGATCCTAAGCCAGATCCCGATCCAGATCCGGAAGCCATCGATGTTGATGAGGTTGACGTGGTTGATTTCGTCGGCTTTAGTGAAAGAGTCCGCGGAACCCCCTGGGCCAACGAGAACGTCTTCTTGTGTCGGAGCGGAGTGCCGGGGAACACCCCCGCAGTCTTCATAGACAAGTTGATGCGGGTGACTGGCGGGCTTTCCCCTTCGTTTGGGTGAACGTCAAGGTGTTTTGCGCCCACCAGTTTCCGCATTTTTCTCGGCATGGGAGTGGAGCGGTATGGGGTTGCTGGAGCGGGCATCTTTACGATAGGTGCAAGGAATGGAGCCGGTTGATCCCCTTGCTTGTTGTAGCTTTCCGTCGCTTCAGGCGGATGCTCTTCATTTTTGCTCGTATTAGTATTGTTGTTGCGTCTGCTGGATGAACGCAGGTTCCGCTCGATTGCCTCCGAGTTCTGGTAAACCTCCAAGTCAAACTCGGGGACTTTCTTGTCCCCACAGTACTCGACTAGGGCAGCGTCGTTCCATCTGACTTGTTTCTTTGACAGGTCTCGGTGTTGATGCTGGCCATCTTCTGGATCCGTCCCCAGCGCTGCAATCGCTTTATTGAGAATTGGCAACAATTTGTGTGGGGGTTTGCTGCCCTTGTTCAATCTCGTGTTCGCCTTGGTCAGAAGGGCTGTCTGCTGGTCGTCCGTTCGCTGCATAAAAACGAACTCAGTGCCCTTTCGGCGGCGTGTTGGGATCTGGTCCGGGACCCTGGGCGGATGCCGGGCATGCTCGACCGTTACTTCAACAACAGGAGAGCTGGGTGCAATTGAGCCATCCCAGACGTTTTCGAACGGTGGTTTTTGGTCCGTTGATTTGGACGCAACAATGCGGGGCGACCGTCGGTTAAAACAAAAGTCAGGAAGCTGTAGCTTCTCAGGAGACAATTGTCGTCTATGCGAACGAGGTGAGTTCCCGTCCACAGCTTCCAGTATGCGTCGTGCAGTGGGAGTTGGCGATTCCGGCAGACGGTCAACACCAGCATCTTTCTTCACCGGCGTATTGGCAGCTCTCTTAGCCCGTGCCTTGGAGAGGAAGTCAGAAATAACCTCTGCATCGTCGCCGTCGAGAATAGCTATCTTCCGCACTGGTGAGACCTGAAGGGGGATAGCCCCTTGCTCCGGCATGATGGCCATGGGTTCCGCTACTGCATCAAAGAAGGTCTCTTCTTCGAGTTCTCTGCCATCATCTGGTTGGCATTCTGTACGGACTGTGTTCGGTTTCTCCTGGCTGACTTCTCCTGGCATTGTTCTGACCTCCTGTGCAGTCTCCTCCGGCTGAGGAACGTCTCTGGGTTCGTTGTAAGAGCTACTACAATGACCCTGCTCTTCATCGGACACCTCAACACCTTCGGTCCCACCCTTCGCTCGAAGTAGGAAGTCGACCGATGCCGTTGTTTGCGCGCTCTCCGCTGGCGCAACGTATTTTCCTAAATGACAACAAATCAGTACCCTCCATCATCAAGTCATCCCAGCGAAGATAGTCGCAGCAAGCGCAATAATAATACACCACTCACGTCGTCGGTCTTCCGTCTGCGCTTCCCATTTTGTCTCCAAAAACGACCGTCCACGCTCACACTCTGGGGTATAGGCCAGTCGCAACCTCTTCACGCCACGTAGCGCGGCCAGAGTCGCGGCCAAGTTGATCTCTGTAGAAAACGCATCCATGTCGTGCATGCTGTTCACTTCCAATGACGTAGAATCGGTACACCTCTTCCAGATCTTCTGTGTCTTGGACCGTGGGAGGACAGGCGTTGTTGGCTTGCGGTCCCAGAGGCGAGTTGGTTTCTTCGACGTTGCCTCCGGAGTGAACCTAAAGCGGTCGTGATCGAACAAGCGATTCTTCCTACAGCGTGAATTTAGTTATTATTAGATCTTCACTTGCTGTCGACGTGTCTTTGCATGAGTGAGGGATGGGTGCGAAGGTGAATCGGAGCCTGCGCCTGAGGCAGAGAATCCCAGTGAACTGTGAAGCTTGTGGAAGCGTTAGGTACCTTCTTGGAGAACGCATTTTGTACTGTTTGCACAATGATGGAAGTAGATATAGCCTTCAGAATAGAGATTCGCTATAGTGATAGATGTTCGTTGTCAATTGCAATTCCGCAGGTAAAGGGGCTGCTTATTCTGGTTATCTGTAAACCGGCTGGCTGACTTTTTGGGAGTGGTGTAAAGGGAGGATGTGTATAATAACATGTACTCCGTAGTCGACGATGAAAGACCAAGTCCACAGTAATGAATGTGATAGGAAACTGAAGATAGGATGTTTGTTATTCTGAACTTATTCAGTCATCGGCCTGGATGGTTTGGCGCGTTTTCTTTTTTTTTTTCTTCCTCCTTTGCTTCTCCATGATGATGTTTTTACCCCCTGCTAGTAGCCCGTTGCCGTGCCAACCAAGGCCCCCCATCACAAGCCACAGTTTCTCATATCGACTATCTCGACGCCAGCTACGGAGTATTATTCATGTACTTTGCATCTGTTTAACCGCTCCAATGTGCCTTATATCATGTCGTAGAAAGTAAAAAAGGGTCATTTATTCGTTGTCATAATGCTGTGTTTATCATTTCGTCTTCCATCGGCCTACACCTCTATCATCAAACGGGTCTCCAAACTCTCCTATTGCCAGAAAACCGTTAGTAAATCTAAACGTCTTCGATGGGCCAGTTATGGCGGGATACTGAAGGCAAAGAAAGAGTCGTCCAGATAAACATACTGAGGCTGAAGTCCTTGTCTACAACGAACTCGAGTGCCCTCTTCGCTTCTTCGTCCGCCTTCTTGTTCATCCACGATGCGCCAGGTTCCTCTCGCAGTACTGCTGGCAAATTACTCGTGGAATCTTCGGTTTCCTCGTCGTTTTTCTCAGAGATGCTGGTTAATGGAGCGGAGTCCTTGAGATTCTCGTTAAAGCCTGTCATTGCTACTTCTCGAGTCGCAGGTCCGTGAGACCCGGGTGGCGATAGCTCTGGCATTGCTGGTATACTGTTCCTGGCTGTCCCGTTACCTCCCGCTGGTGTCTGAGGACTTCCTGGGGTGGGAGACGATGAAGTCGAAGAGAGCATCTCGGAGTCGAAGTCGTCTAGACAAAGGTCAGCTTCTCCCTTAGTAAACCAGGGAGTGTGACTTCCCCTACCTGCCATCTTGGATAGTCTATCTTCTGGGGAAAAGTGCCTTCTTCAGTTAATATAAAGCAGTTTCGCTTTCTCCAGTCTCCTAGGGAAGCTGTTTGGTAGTGGCGTCGTCTCTACCAGCTTTCGTCGTTTCGTCGTCATCGAAATCGTTATCGATATACGTATCACGTGACATGTACTTTTTTATGGCTTTGAAAAAGCTGAAAAGTTGACAAAGTCGAAGACAGCAAACAAACCGGATATTTTGTGACTATTTCACCAGGCGTTTTGCAAGCGTTAGACTCTTGATTTGCTTTTGAATACTACAATTATCTCTTCTCTTGGGATAAACCCAGCAACATAGTGCCCCTTCACCCCTTCGGCTGTTACGGTGCCCCCCGCTTACGAGAATCTTCAGCAAGGCCTTTGGTCGGATCATACACCGCGATATAGAACATATAGAAAGGGATCTTGTGGTGTATAATAACGTTTAGGTTTATTGTATACCCTCTAGTTGTACCATGAATCGAGCCGATCAAATACCGGATGCGTGGGACGCGGACTGGGAGAGCATTGCAGATGTATTGCCCTACCCATCAGCTTTTTTTTTAAACAATAGTATTATTGTATCATTGAACAATCAATACTGACCATTGATTGCGAAATAGAAACCGTCGCAAGCTCCTGAACCAGTACCTGAGAAGAAGCTGTCCGCCAGAGCTGCAAAGGCCCAGCGCCGGGCAGAACATGCTGAATTTAACCGACAGCTATGGGCCGAAGCGTGAGATACCTATCAATCTTTTGAACTATTGCTTGCTCTGGGCCTAATAAAGAGTTTTTTTTTGTAGTGAAACACCGCAAACGTTCCACTTCCTCGAGTCTCGGTCTACGGTTCCTTTGAAGTCCGAATACAAAGTACCCATGAAAGTTCTTGCGCGCAAACCCCAGAGTAACCGATCTGAACTTGAATCAGGCATTCAGGGACTGTCCGTACAAGACCAAGGTCAGGGTGATGACGATGACGATGAAGATTTTGAAAGAAAGCCTGGACAATTAACGTACGAAGAGCGAGTCGCAAAAGCTCAAAAGGAACGGGAGGAAAAGCAACGCAAGTACGAAGAGGTTCGTGAGAGATTGTTCGGTAGCCCTACTCCAGGCTCAGGTGCATCATCTCCTGGCAACGGCACGCCACCGCGCCAGGGACAACATCAAGGTGGTGAGGGAAAGAAACGGGGACGAAATAACAGGTCTAATACCGGAGGCAATCGAGAAAACAAAGAACGAAGAGACAGAGATAATGCCAATGCATCTCCCAAAACACAAGGCCGACTGTTCGACCCAAACTACTCCCCAAGAACAAACTCGAACTATGTTCAGAGAAAGGAAAAAGAGCGCGCAGTAGGTGAATTTAGTAGGGAAGCATCTTCACAGCCACAGCTGGATATGCAGTCTCAATCTCCTCAACTGCAAGCACCCATCAGGAGTCCCCGAGGACCAGATTCTAGTGGAAGAGGTGGATTTGGTGGTTTTCCATCACGGGGTGGACGAGGTTGAAAAAAGGGTGCAGATGATATCCACACGATACAAAGTCTTACCTGCAACAACCCGAGACGAGTCCACGGGTGTATCTCCAAGAGAGTGTCAGTACTGACACAGCGCCCGATCCAGCTCCATATTCAGGAGAAATACTTATTATGCACCAATACCAGGTCGGGCATTCAAGCTGCTCGCTGGTCCACGTTGGACACATCGGCATATCAGGCTTTTCCCAGTCGCCAGGAAGCAAAAATGCCCTGTCTATGCTAAGATACCCTACGAGAATTGCCCAAAAAGGCTATATAAACCGACAGCTCGCATCCTGCAACGATGGGTGAAAGAAGCTACGGGCGGAACATAGGCTGCGACATACTACTGCCCAAATTTTGGATTGGAGATGGGAGGTATGCACGAAACCCATAGCGGACACCTCTTCATCCACGAGTTTTAAGAACTGTCACAAATGAGCGTTACATTGCGATGTTGAATAAGAGGTAACTTCACCTCTTCTATACAGCGGAATAAAGGCATTGCAGTCTATACTATACTGAACCTTGGTTAAAGAATGGTATACATGTTGGGACTAACGATTGGTGATACAAAATGGCGGTCCGTCATATCACACTACTAAACTCCTCAATTCCTGCATTCATCCCTCTCATGGTAAATCGTGTCCGGCATTAATAGCATTAGCTAGTTGGGATGTGTTTGGGCGGTTTTCTGTAAGACAATCAATATACTTTAGTTAACAAGTTGACGAGGCTGAAATGGAAGAATCGTTCCTACTCACCTGCATATCTCTGGTAGCTATCCAAGTATAAATCATCGGCGCTCGTAGTGGCCATAACATGTTCATCTAACTCCACTGCTTCCATCCACGCAGCCCATCTGCTGCCCCTTTCTGGATCAGGCCACGCACGGTAAGGTTTCAATACCCGGGTAAGCCTTAGCATCCATGGAGCAAAATGGATGTCAACGAACGAGATGCTGCGGCCTAGGAAGAACGGCCCATGGACATGCGAGGCGTTGACAAGCTTGCTTATATGGTCCTTTAGTTGTTCAGTGATCGTAATTTGCTTCCCTGGGTCTTGTTCTTGCAGCAGCCGGTAAAAACAGGGTATTATATGGCGGTTTATCTAAGATGGGACATGGTTAGTTTTAGATATGGAGAATGAATGACAAAAATGTATATACGTACATGGTCTGCCCATAAACGGCAATGTGCACGAAGCTGCGGATCTCCTGGGGGTAACAAGGGTTTGCCAATATCTAAATCCTCGAGCTAATAGAAGTATGTTGGTTAATACATAGGAATCTCAAGACAAGAAGGCTAAAAGTGCCTTACATATTCAAGAAGAACACTACTTTCATAGCATCCCCAGTTGCCATGTCGAATGGCTGGCACCAGGCCGCGAGGGTTTACTTCAAGTAGAGAGTCTGGTTGCTTGTATGGGTCGATTTCAATGTACTGATATGGTATTCCCTTGACCTCAAGGGCAATCCATACCCTCTGTACAAAGGGGCTAATGGCTAGCCGTTAATTCGCCAGTCTTGCAATCGATAGATACCGGGAAAACATACCAGAAACAGCTGCCATAAAGTTTCAAGTCGCTCTCCTTTGCATGTTTCTTCACAGTGGAGTATGCATATCCAGATGCACGGCTATGGTATGATTTTTGCTGAGTCTACACATATTTGTTAACAGCAAAAAACGGAGGATTCGGGGCGATTTCTAAGGAATATATTGACGTACAGTTGACTTCTTCTTGTCCTTCTCCTCCTTTAGTAGATTCCTCTGCACACTATTCTTCTTGATCCGGTCACTTTCTTCAAGTGTATGCCGGTGTGGGCCTTCGACGGAGTCTGATCTTCCATTCCCCCCATTCCCATTTACACGTTGAATTGTGTAATATCGAGCCCCGGCCACGCCAGGATGGCCTGGTGGCAAGGTTGCACTGGGTGTTAGTACGCCGAACGGCTGAGACCCGTCTAGATTTGAGTTTGATGAGCCAGGTACTACCAGGAGATCAGAAGGTGAAGAAGCCTGGGAAGGTTGTTCGAATCCCGAGGGAATATCTTGGGAACTATTTATGGCGCCAGGGAAGTATTCCGTGATCTTTATCTTGACGTCGCATAGATTACGCTCTCGAGCGGTTCTCTTTCGCTTCTTCTTATTGGGGTCATGGGTCTTTGGGGTTCCTGGTGGGCGTCCTTTTAGCCGACAGTCCCAGTAATGGGATATAAAGGGCTTGCGCTTGTATCTCTGGGTGGACCGGTGGGAGTAGACGTTATCTACATGGGGGAAATATGTTTGGAACCTAGGAGAAGTTAACCACTGGATTCACACAAGGGTGATATAGTACCACTTACTCCTCTTCGCTCAAGACAATCGTGTCTTCCACGTTGAACAGCTTCTCTCTCCATTTCTGGAGGTCCGGCGGGTTAGGTATGCATTTCATATTCTTGAAATGGCCTTCGCTGGCGTGACTGCTGCCCCCCTGAGACATGTCTGCCTGACCCGGGGACTGGAAATGGGGTATCATGTTCTGTGGCAGGTGTTGCTGGGTAAACGGTGAGAACTGCATGTCATTGTTCGTCGGCGATACAAATTGATGGCCAGCAACGTCGTCCGGGTGCTGTGAGAGTCTGGCATCATGCGGAGTGCTCAACACCATCCCGTCACCAGAGAATGTGATGTCCACCTGGTCCATCTGCTCGATCTGCTCCAGGCCATGACCGGCAGATCGTACTGCTGGCGGGAGGTGTCCTTCTGCTGCATTGTTCAAGTCCGCGTCGAACGCCCCTCGTGACGATATGCCTCTTCCGGACGTTTGTTGTTGTTGTTGCTGTTGCTGATGTTGCTGATGCTGCTGTATCGAGTCGACAACGGGCGAGGCGAGCGACTGGACGGCATTGAGACTGTGAAGCTGTGACTCGAGCTCTGGATCGGTGGGCGGTGCTGTCGCGTGCTGGTCGCGCAGGTCGTGGGGGCCAGGCAGCTTGCTCGGCCCGGTGTCTGCCATGGTGACGATGGAGCTGGCGCTGGCTAAACTGGCGATGGATTCTGCAGCGTTTCAGAGGGTGGACTGCTGCTGGCTGCGGGCAAAGCTGGGCGGCGCAGTTGAAGCGGCGTGACTTTTTTCTTGCTCTCGTCTTCGCGCGGGTGGGACGCCAAGCCGGGCCAGCTGGTTATGCTTAAAATGTTTATTTTCTTGAGGCGGACGACCATGTAGACTCCAGAAGGGGGGAAGGGGAGATACGGGCTGGTATGGCTGTGTGTGGGTAGACTTGTATAGTACATAAGTAGTAGATGAACTACAGTGGCAACAGCAGAAATTGCAGGATAGGAGGCGGAGGCAGAGACCAGCTAGAATGTGAAGGCAGTTATCGAGAACGAGCAGCATTGGCAGCTCTGGCTAATCAAGCAGATGCTATAGAGACACATCAGAAATCATCTCTTCTTCCTCTTATCCGCCTCTACGTTCTTGAAAGGGAACCCAGACGTCCTTTTGTCGGCACCAGTCCTCTTACTGATCCTGCTCGACCCGGCAAACAGCATGCACCAGAGTCCCATGGCAGCCAAAAAGCCTGACGCCAGCATCCCGGCTGCGAAGCCCATCTGTCCCGTGCCAGAATACCATGAGTATGTGTAGCCAGCTACCACTGCATGAAAGCCGGAGCTGATTAGGAGCATCGGGAAAGCATATTCTTTTTTGGGGTCGGACTCGTCTGCAGTGATTGAATACGAAGAAGCGAGTGGTAATGCACCAGTCAGGACCAGAAATATCAAGGCTAGCGATACCTGGCCTATTCCGCAGCTCCTAGCAAAGTATATCTCGAGTGCTAGGCAGATTCCATCCTGCGTCAGCACCTGTTGCATTTGAACGAGCTAGCAGGGGGGGATATCAACGGCTTAGTCTTACGTGTAGGCTGCCGGGTCTCGTCAACCAGTGTTGTTATTATGAGCTTCGGAGTAAACAGGAGAGCGGTGCCTTGGAGGGCCAGCCAGGCAAAGGTGCCATATGAGTACGGATAGAAGCCCTGGTGTCTAATGTCAGCGGGGGAGGGGCAGTCCAACTTGAAAGTGTAATTTCCAAGAGACCACTAACGTCCATAGTCGGGTAAACCGGTACATATACCGCTTAATTAGAGGGATTCAGGGCCTTATGGCTGTGATATGCCGTTGTGCACCAAGGAATTCGTTTCTGTTGCTTTGTTGCTGTTTGTTGCTTCGGCTTTCTTGTTCTTCATTAGATAAAAAAGGGGATGACGTCATGTAAAAGTTAATTTGTTACAGGTTAGTCAGCTCATGTTCTACAATGACAGATTTTGTTTGCGCCTAATAAAGATCAGTCAAGTTCTATCAAGCAGCATCAAGCTCATCAAATTGACCAGTTTTGATCGTTACTGCGTCCGCTAGTCGAGAGAGCGGGCGAGCATGCGTATTTCGAACTCTTGACCCCTGCTACAGCACTATCAATATTCAGGGTTTCAGTGCCAGTATGACAATGACCATTCGAACCACCACCGTGAAGGACTCAAGCAACTGGGACGAGTGATATCACAGTTATACTTGGCTTCACACTCTTATACCAACTTTAGGAACTGGCTGATTCCGATCCGGAGGAAGAACCATCGTCGAGAAGCTGGTCTAGGGGAACTGGAGATCTACAAAATCGAAGGTGAGATGAGGGCAGTCTACATACTTCCGCACCAATCCAGTGCGAGGTATTGAACATTCAATTATGAGACGGCTTAAACAGGCGACTTCACCTATAACATTTTCAAGACTCTGAAGGAGTTCCTCTATCTGACGGGAAGGGAAAGGAGGCAGGCAAAGGACTTCAGATGGAACCAAGCCCACCGAGCGCAGGAAGAGATTTCCTCTCTGTTCCGGTAGACTCAAACCGATCTTCAGTCACTTTTACTGCCTGGCTACCACTTGTACTTGATATGTATTACGAGAAGCCTAGCTAAAGTTATATAAATAACAATATTCATGTATGTTTAGGTATGGGAGAAAAGAGATAAACATGCAATCATTACACCATACAAGGTATCTGGTAACAAAAAAAATACATTTTTCCACCATAACTATCCCAAGTTGGATGATTTTAGGTACCGTGCAAAACTGCTATCTTCGCCGGCTTGACCGTCTCCGGAATCAGCCAGGGCATTGCTATACCGCTGTGAGAGTCCGGCATCGTCTCGCTGGTTAGGTCGTTCATCCTCATCCTCATCGTCATCATCTTCTGCATCAGAGATGGTCTCAATTTGGTCCGCTTTCTCCTTTGACGAAGCTGGGCGGCCGGAAACATTCATGTCCTTCAACAGCTTTCCCAGCTCAACATCCCGTCTCTCCAGCTTCTCTTTCTCCCTCTGTTCCCTCTTCCTCTCAAGCTCGGGTTTATAGTCACGGTCAAACTCTTTGCGCTTTTCCTCTACTGCAGCGAAAAAGTCGTCTACACCGTCTCCCGTCATGGAGCTGACTCCCACCACACTCAAATGGTGATAAAATTCCTCGAGCATCAGGCTCATACTGTTCAAGAATGAGCCCATATATCCGCTGCCACCTCCAACACCTCCAGAACCACCCTCACCGCCGCCAAAGGCACCGTGTTGTTCCTCCTCCGCTAGAGCAGCCTGGAACTTTTCAAAATCGGTCATCCATTCCTTTGCAAAGTCGGCATCTTTCACGTCCGTCTTATTAAAAACTAAAATCATTGGTAGTTTTGTCTTGTATAAAATGCTACAGGCATAAAGCATATTGCTCATAAACGTGCTCGTCGAGCTTGTCCGTGGGGTATCAATAATATATGCAATCACCGTAGGGAACGACGACGCCAGTGACTCCAGCAGTATACTTCCTGAAGCACTCCATACAAACACTTCTATCTGGCCGGGTGTATCCACAAGTATATGCTCCATTCGCTTTGGAGCTGCAGGCTGTTCTGGGGTGACGGCCTGCAATGCGCGCTTTTCCAGGATTCCCATTATCTGATCAATTTTCGTGGCGAACAGGTTTAGAGAAGTCAGGATGCCGCCATTTGGTCCAAGATTGTACTGCTTCATGACCTCCTTGTAGTTTATTGAGTCTCTTATGTCGATGTTGCTCTCGAACGGAACTGAATGTACTGCTGGGTCGAGGTTCATTACGTACGGAGGCTTCTTTTGGCTGTACAGGTAGGAGTTGATTCTCTGCATGAACGTCGTCTTCCCGGATCCTATACAGTAATTCAACCATTAGTTTCCCGTCTTAAGCAGCACAACTGTCTTATTTATCAGAAAGAGGGAGCTGGTCTACCTGCCATCCCGACGCAGACAACTGCGACAGGCGGGGCTGCCATGGTTGCGATCTGGTCAATGAAGCGAAATCCAACAGAAGAAGGGTTGTCAAAGGTAATAAAACAGGCCCCGGTATTCTCTAATATGAAGAAAGAGGAAGACACCCGACGCTATGGCTGTGATCAAGCGCAATAGGAGCTGTTGTTTCGAGGTTGTCAAAATTTTGGCCAAAAAGAAAAAGATTTAGAAGAACAAAATTTGGTTGATCCGCGACGTCATCTCAAAGCTCCAGATTAAATCTTGTGAGCTAACTACCGAAGCAATCTACAAACTTCAACACATACGACCAACTTCTCCCCAGGACACAATGACGCTGGAAGACTTTGAGCGAGAGCTGGCGGAGAATAACAGAAAAGAGAAAGAAAGAGAAGAGAGAGAGCATGAAAGATCGAGACGAAGACATCGACACCGCAGTGACCGTGACCGTGACCGTGACCGCGACGAAGATTCCAAGCACCGCTCCCATCGACACCACCACCGGCATCACTCTCCGCATGATAGACATGGCCGCCGAGAGGAGGATGAAGATGATGATGGAAGACGCAGGCATAAACGATCTCGGCATTCAACGAGCAACGGCGAGGAGAGAGAGCATCGGCACAAACGACGCCATCGAGACCGAGATGGAGACAGAAACCGAAGCAGAAGCGCTGACAGAGATAATACGAAAGAAGAGCCACAAGAACCTGCTGTAGAATCGGAGACTGGAGCTAAGCTTCAGAGGGACTCCTGGATGGAAGGGCCTTCAGCTCAAGACATTGATTATATACACCGGCCAAAGGAGAAGCCGCAGGAAACACCAGCAGCTCGGATGCTTCAAGTCGACTTTGGGCAGAAATTGCATGAAAAAGAGCTGAATCGCCATCTTCTTGACGTTGCGGAGGACGCTGATACTACACGGAAAAGTGATCCAGTGGAGGTGGACTACACATTTGGAGATGAGGGATCACAATGGCGAATGACGAAACTCAAAGCGGTCTACCGACAGGCGAATGAAAGTGGGAAAACAGTTGACGAGGTTGCTCTGGAACGATATGGTGATCTACGGTTCTTTGACAATGCCAGGGAAGAAGAAATTGAGCTCGACCGGAGAGAGAGATACGGAAAGGATTACCTTGGGAAGGAGAAACCCTCCGGGGAACTGTTTAATGCCCGAAAGTTGGACATGGAGCCAACTAGGAGAAATAATAGCGCAATACCAGCCCCGGAGCTTGAACCCTCTGCACAAGGAGAACCGGTGAAAACAGAATCAGCTCCGCGGGAGACCACAGCGCTAGATGCTAGCGCTCTAAACAAGTTAAAGGCTCAGATGATGAAGGCGAAGCTAAGAGGTGCATCGGATGCAGCTGAGTTAGAAGCCCAGTACAATGCAGCCGTTTCCGGAGCGGCAAACCGAAAAGAAGCGGATATCGTCGTCCTGGGGGTCATGGACAACCGCATGTTGGCTGGGGGTAACCGGGCTGAAGTACGTGCGGTCGAAACCAAACGTGGTAGAGAGAGAGGCCAGGTAGAAGAAAACGAGGATATGACCATCGAAGATATGGTCCGTGAAGAGCGCAGAAACCGTGGAGGCGCAGGAGAAGGGCAACGATTTGCCGAAAGAATTGCCAAAGATGCTAAATTTGATGTGAGTTCCCGTAGCTCTCTATGTGATATATGGTTTATAAATGCTAATTGGATATAGAACGATCTTGATTATATGGATGAGAATGCTTCCAAGCTTGCGAAACGAGTCCACAAGTCAGAAATTAACCTTAAAAACGCATCAATAAGTGAATTCCAGAAGATGAATCGCATTCTGGATAACTGTCCCTTGTGCCACCATGAGGACACTGGGAAGCCTCCCCTTGCGCCGGTGGTATCGTTGGGAACTCGTGTTTACCTCACTCTTCCAACGGAGCCTGAGCTAAATGAAGGGAGTACATGCATCGTACCCATCCAACACCGGACTAACCTCTTAGAATGTGATGATGATGAGTGGGAGGAGATCCGGAACTTTATGAAATGTCTAACAAGGTTGTACCACGACCAGGGACGAGACGTTATTTTTTACGAGAATGCAGCCCGGCCCGGCCAGAAACGACACGCAGCCATGGAAGCCGTACCATTGCCGTATAGTCTCGGAGAAACTGCCCCAGCGTTCTTCAGGGAAGCAATTCTCTCCGCGGATGAGGAATGGACTCAGCATAAAAAGGTCATTGACACACTTGCCAAAGCCCGACAAGGCGGCGGAAAGCTTGCGTTCCGCAACACACTAGCGAAGGAAATGCCATATTTCCACGTTTGGTTTGAGCTTGATGGCGGGTTAGGACATGTGGTTGAAGACCCTAACCGATGGCCAAAAGGGGATCTCTTTGCTCGAGAGATTATTGGAGGCATGCTCGACCTGGGCCCTGAGGTGATCAAGCGGCAAGGGAGGTGGCGTAGCGGCACTGACAGAAGGGTTGACGGATTCAAAAAGCGCTGGAAAAAGTTCGACTGGACTAGAGTATTGACTGAGGAGTGATATATGCAATCCCTCCTCGGGTGGCAATTTTCATGCAGCCATTCAGCTTATATGTGATGATACAAGTTTCAATCAATCAAATCATGGGTACTGGGGATCCTTATACTCACGGAGAACGCCGTGTTCAACGTCAGACCCCCTTCCGCCTAAACCCATCCGTGAGATTTGATCTGGCGGGTCCCATCCTCACTAAATGACGATCTACAGGCCTAAAGTTGCACGGCATGGCAGACGCCTTCATGTCAACAGAGAATAAACGGTCAACATACATTAAGCTACACAATGCAGTTAGTTATTCAGCTTTTTCCGGGGTTGTTAAACGCCTCTCGCCAGGTCAACTCCAAATCCTTATAATATCAACAACTATCGACCGTTATTTGCTTGATAGGGAGCCCCTTTTTGGCGTGCTTCCGGTGCGCCGAAGAGAGGCACACGCAAATAAGCTCGAATGAGCAGCAAACTACTGGGTTTGCTGCAAGAAATAATAACTATAACTATTCCACATCGACGAAGAATTAGTTACTGACTCGGCCGAATTCTGGAGCAGAGCGAGACGCTTGATACAATCACGTCTGAACAGCGCGGAGCCAGTCAGGAAATGAGCTGCTGGAGAGATGATTCTTCTTGATTCGATTTGGCCGCGATTATTTAAGTTGATCCACAAATCGTTTTATGGAGCCACCCCACGACAGCCAGATGATATTTATATATATCAACGCTCAAGATCCTGATGCTGGGCTTCCTAACTTGATTAACAACCAGCCCTGTTCTATTGGCAAAGTCTCTTAGACCACGCAGGCAGACCCTTCTATAGTTCGCAGAAGTTTGGCCCAGGGGTTTTATACCGCAATCAGACAGAGGAGCGTCGAACCGACGATGACATCAGCTGAGAAACCGAAAATCCTCTTGCTAGGAGAAATCGATCAGTACGTTGCAGCTTTAATTCCCTAGTTAAAATGCCCTGAATCTGTTATTCCCCTCGGCCATATCTGCTTTTGATATGCGTCAAAGAGCAGGCCTGTCTTCCGTCCCTGCATATGCGTACGTCGTATTATATGTACGGACTACCTTATATGCACCAACGGCTTCCCGTCCTTATTTACCCCTGGTATTATATGTATGGCGTGCCGATGAAATACATCACGGACACGTATCCGTCAGTTACGATCTTTGTACTTATGCACTAACTTGGATGGCTCCGGGCCCTTCTTCTCCCCGTGAGTGGGGGACGGAGTGGCACGGAGCCCGCGAATATAAAGTGCCCATGACACATGGCGAAACCTTTCCAATATCGGAGAGCTTGTAACGCCCAAAGCCACCAATCGAGCTGAGTTCCTTCAGGAATGTCGTGATGGTAAACTCGATGGAGTGCGGGTAGCCTATCGGACTTTCGGGTCTGTCTCGATCACTGGCCTGATTGACCAGGAATTGGTGGAAGCTTTGCCAAAATCCATGGAGTTCCTAGCCCACTGCGGTATGAGAACGATGCATCTGGGCTGTATGAACCCCCCCTGAAAATACATGGTTATACTGACAGGCTCGACCAGGCTCCGGGTATGACCAAGTAGATGTCGCAGCTTGCAGCGCTCGATCACCACCGCTGCGGGTCTCCAATGTGCCTACAGCTGTAGATGAGTCCACGGCCGATGTTAGCATGTTCTTAATTATCGGGGCTCTTCGCAATTTCAATGCCGGTATGCAGAACCTGCGAGCCGGCAAATGGAAGGGTTCCCCCGAGCCAATTGCCCTTGGACACGATCCGCAGGGGAAAGTACTCGGTATTCTCGGCATGGGAGGCATTGGACGTAACCTCAAGAAGAAGGCTGAGGCCTTTGGCATGAGCGTTATTTACCATAATCGCAACCAACTGAGTGAAGAGTTAGCCGGAGGAGCAAAATATGTATCCTTTGATGAACTTCTTGCCCAAAGCGACGTTTTAAGCTTGAACTTACCCCTGAACGTACGTTTCATTCCTGATCCTACACCCTTTTTCTATCCCTGGCCTTACATTCCTAATATCACTCAATACCCTGTCTCGTAGCATACGACCACAGTGCAGGGTACTTCGTCTAGCTAACCATGCCCCCCTTGCAGAAAAACACAAGACACATCATCAGTTATGCGGAATTCAACAAGATGAAGAAGGGCATCATTATAGTGAACACTGCTCGCGGGCCGGTTCTTGATGAAGAAGCTCTTGTTATGGCACTCGAAAGCGGAAGGGTAACCTCCGCAGGGCTCGACGTTTTTGAAAACGAGCCAGAAATCCACCCAGGATTGCTCAGGAATCCCAACGTGATCCTTGTTCCACATATGGGCACCTGGAGCGTTGAAGTAGGTTACCTTTTGTTTGAATGCCAGTAGTTGTTGGGTGGAGGCTAACAAGCTCATGAACAGACTCAAACCGGGATGGAGGAGTGGGCGATTAGCAATGTTAGACAAGCGATAGAGACAGGAAAATTACGATCCCCTGTACCTGAACAGGCAAGACTTTAAAGCAGTGAGTTCTTGATTTGATGAGGCATTGATCAGAGGTACATTCGTTTATCTAGAGAAGTATAGATGGAGACACTTAACTACTAGACTGGGTGAAAGGGAGGTGGCTCAACAAGCGCATCATGATGTCTGTCTGGCAACCAAAGAAAAAGGAAAAAAAAATAAAGTAGTTTATCTTATAAAATTGATCAGGTCAATGTCTTTCGAATTCATCGTGCACTAGTCTAATAACTAAGACTGTAACGTTTCATGGTATATGGGAGAAAGGAGGCCAAAAATATCATACAAAGCTCCAGCCGGTTCCGTGTGATCCTGGATATCCCCCATAATGCCTTCTCTTAAACGCCGCGAATGAGAAACTATGAACAAAAATATGAAACGAAAACGCACATTCAGAACAGCCGTTGGAAGAAAGAAATGGTGGGATCAAGTCTCAATGTGATAATGGCAAAGGGCCGTGATTGTATAATTAGACGTTGTAGGGTTCATCCCAATATCTGACTGTTAGCTGAGAGATACGCCGAGTGACCTGGTTAGTCGCCTTCCCGCGTACTTCATCCTCGAGGAATCGACATGCTACATATAGCTTTGCAGCGGGATCCTTCTCATCTGAGGCAACAGGAAGTTTAAACTTTCGGGGCTGGAATTTAGAAATGTTCCTGACAACGGCAATAGAGTACACGACATCACGGCTTTCAATCATATCAAGGAACGCGCGGGCCGCGAAGAGGGCTTTGTCCCGTTTGTCGCTCGCACCTGGCTCATTGTCCGGAATTGACAGATAATCGCCCATTGACTCCCAGAATCCTAGCTGGCGGTTCTTGATCTGTGTGTTCAGCCCAGATGTGGTGACAGCAGGGTCATCTTCCGGATAGTTGTGACGAGAAAGGGGATTGTTTTCAAGAACGGTTCCTGTAAGTAAGGCTTCAAGAAGAGATAGGCGCTTGACAGCATATATGAGTTGCGGATCTGTCGAGTCCGAAGTGTCGGTTCCATTAGTCGGCTCCTGAGCTCGAGCTGCACGGCATAGGCAAAGACTTTCCCATATGACATTGCTTTCGAACGATTCCATACGAGCAATTACCGGAGCATCGTTTATGTTTGGATCGGTGAAACCGTCGAGGAGAGAAGAGTACAAGGACAGCAGACGAGGGCTTCCAAGTAATTGGGTTAGTCCGTGCGTGTCGTACCAGTTACATTCAAGCAGCCGGTCCATTCCTTGGGCATAGATCCTGTACAGCATCTTTACCTCTTCCAGTTTAGTAGGCGAGAGAGGATTGGTATCAACTTCTGGTAACGCAAATCCACCAATTGCTAGCAGTTCACTCATTTTCGGTTGTCTCGCTATAGCTCATGTTAACATATATGGCGTTCATATTTGCATGAAGTAGGGTTATGACTTACGTTCCATCTTTTCCGAATTAGGCAATGTTGTCGACGCAGCAATTAATGGGTGGCCTTCAGCAACTCTAGGGGTAACACTTCTCGATTGCGCAGTTGGCGCTGTGACAGGTGCGGCTGGTGCAGCTGGTGCAGTCTGTGCCGGCTGAGCTGCTGCTATGGGAGTAGGTTCCGGTTCAGTGCCAAAGTCGAGCTTCTCCTGGGGGGGCGATGCCGATGAACCTGTATTGATAGATGGAGAAACAGAATGCGCCGTACTGTTGTTAGGAAGATACGCTTGGTTGAGACCGGTAGCCTGATGAGGGTTCTGGGGCGCAACTTGAAGGGAGGGATGTGTTGTCGGCGCTGGCTGTAGCGAAGAGGGGCCTGGCTGGCTTCTAAACACCGGGTCGTACCCCAGACAATCCCGTTTACTCTTCTCGCAATTTCGACACACGGGATGCCGTTCGTCGCACTGTATCAAGTCTCAGTATGGATCTATCAAATTTGCGACTCGTAGGTGGGTATAAGTGCGATAACACGGTTGAAATTGACCACGACAAAGGAAAATAAAACGAAGAATGAAAAAATCGGAAGTAAGATATTGTCACAAGCAGCGAACTGGCGCAAAAAAGGGCTGGAACATGAACAAGGCTGCTGGTGTTGCTGGTTGCGATGTTAATTCGGGTGTTGAGATGGGGTTTTCTGGCAGTTTTCGTTTTTTGATGCTAAGCGAGCTGCAGACGCGGGGACCAGAGGAGCAAAAAAAACCCAGCAAGCCAAAGAAAAGAAAAAAATAACATTCCCTCAAGCAACAAACGCCAGGGGACATCGAGAAACAAACGGATTATGTTCCTTTGAAGGGCGTATCTTCATGCGACAATTGCTTTGGCTAACATGGGATAGCAGATTCTTACCTTTATTCGGCGCTTCCTGCACGTAAGGCAGCCTGTTTTTGTCCTTCGCTTGACATCTCTCTTCATGCGATTCGCAGCGCTCTCGTCTGTTACCAGTTCGAAACCATCTGAGAAGCCTCCGGCTGGGATTTCGCCGTAATACTGAGTGATATGGGTTACGGGAGCTGGGGCTGCTGGAGTTGGGGCTGTTGGAGGAACGGAAGCTGGTGCGCCATGAGGGGCTGAGTTAGCATTGGAATCGAAAGGCCCCTGGTCATTGTTGAATTGCTGTAGGGCTTGAAGCTGTACAGCATGGTCAACAGCTCCTGACTGAGAGGCATCCAGCGCCGAGCTTGCGGCCGCCAGCTGATATACGGGATCCGGGGCTTCTGTCTGCGGTACGGACGGCTGTGGCGGAGGGTTTGAGGTCGCGGGAGGCTGGTTCAAGCTGTTATCTACAGCTGATGGGTGTTGCGATCCTTCCGGAGAGGTATTTGACTGGCCGTTAACGTGGGTAGTGGCAGATTGCTCGCCCTGAGTAGGAGTTTGAGCTTCTGCTGAGGCATCTGTGGTCGTCGCTGGGGCTGACGCTGAGCCTGATGGTGTTTCGCCGTCTGTCATGATTATTCTTCGTCCAAATATAACTTATGGCTGGCTCGAGTTTGGGGATCGGTGGCTTTATCGAAATGCGTTCAATTGTTTAATCTTCCGCATCGTCTGTCTGGTTACAGAGTCATTCGGTAACTCTTCGATGGGATTCGCGATGAGGGCATCGATAAATAGTATTCCACGACGGGTAGTTAATCTGTACAAGCTGTCAGTTAGCAGCTGGCTCCATATTTGTCTCTTGCTTCGCGTTCATCGACTCGAGGATAGAGAGCTGGGATGTTGGAGATATGCGTATCAGTTGAAGCCACATCCCATCCAGCAGAGCAAGCAGTAACCAGACAGCCTCCCGTCAGATATATAGCCTTGCCAATTATGCAGAGAATAGTGATGTTATTATAAATAGCTGAGGCCCTCGCGATGAAAGTGGTTAAAGGTCACAGAGCAGCCATAGCTGGCCAGACCTAGGAATCTTCCGCCACTGCTAGAGCTGCAGACATTATCCATAGGCAGTATTATATAGCACTTGGCCTTATCACACAGTTTCACACGGGAGTCTGAGCTAGGGAAGGGTCCGGACAAGGCCAATTTGGTCATAGAAAGGAAAAGTTGTGACTGCAATGTATCTTGGAGATAAAGAAGATAAAGAAGACACCAACGCTTTCTGGGGCGCAGTTGGATACCTTGACTTACCAGGTCAACAAGATAGCTCTGGCTGTGCTCTCAGTTCGCTGGTATCTCAGCTCACTCTGCTCTGATTATGTCTGCACAAAAGGCCGGTTGCGACTCGAGATGTTTTCAAGCGGCTCAAGTCTTTGATATCAACTAAGAAAAATGAGAGTGGCGATGCCAAGCTTGGTGATGACTATATCTCGACATGAAGATAAACTACTCGGTCAGATTAATATATTGGAAACTAGCCGTGGTTTGGCATATTACTTAGGTAGATGGCGTTGTTATAGCTTAATATACATATTCTATAGGGTAAATAGCTAACGCTATGTCTGCTGCATTTTTAATATGAAGCTGTCAAATCAGAGTCTAGATATCAGTAGCTATAGATAGAATTTGATAAGGAGTTGACTGTATAGTTACTCAGATATATAGTCATGTCCTCCAAAGTCAAGGATTGACTCTGAGATTAGGAAACAAATGCTGTTATAGACAAGCATATGTTACCGTTTTATATTTTTCGGCTTCCGCTTCTTAAACATGACAGCCGGAGGAGAATTCTCTGCCTCGTCCCTCGCGGCTGTCTCTTCCTGTTTGATGCTGGGCGGTATATCCTCATCCTTGACAGGCACATTAGCTCTGTCATCTTCAGCATCTTCTTCTTTTTTCACAGCAGGTTCCTGTGCATCTCTAGACCCAGGATCCACTTTGGCTTCTGCTTTAACCTTCTTCACGTTCGTCGTCATATTCAAAAGCGCATCAAGGTCAGCCGAGTCATCCTCACTAGCCCGATACTCGCGAATCGCCGACCCCCAGGATTTTCTCACAACTTCCTGCTGCATATCCGCTTCTTCCTGCTCATCCTCTCTCAGTTTTCGTTTTCGAACGCCAATATTTTTAACGGTACTCTCGGCAGTATGCTCTTCTATTGGCGTCTCCGAGACAACCTTCCAGTCTCCAGCCAATGCCATACTCGGCCTAAACTCCTCAGGAACTGCAACTCCCATTTCCGCCAGTTGTGCCACCTGTTGCATCCGATCTTGTGTCAAGCCTGTAGTATTCGCTCCAGTAGCCGTCGCTTTCCTCCATGGTGGGTCATTTTGTGCTCGTTTGGCTCCCGTCGACGAACCAGGGTTGGATACTATTCCTCTCAGTCGCTCGATTTCGCTTTTTGCCTTTTGGCTTTCTTTTTCCCCACGTTCTTGGTCTCTGTGTATATCTCGTAAAAACCGTTTTAAGCTGCCTTGATGCTTTCCTGTAGCTTCATGCTGAGTTCGTTCGTAGGGTGTATCGCGAACGAAGACCTTGCAGTGCTTACACCAGTATTTCGGCTAAAGAGAATGATGTTAGCTACCTATTACTATTAGCGCGGAATAGTAAAACTCACTGTAGATTTCCAGTATTCTGCCATGTTTTGGCCCTTGTTATATTATATTTCAGATAGACGAGAGGTTTTGTTTCCAGTCGCAGCTTTTGGCAGCGCAAAATGTTTGAAGTCATCGCAAAAGCTTATCTTATCTTATCTAGATCTAACATTATTTACGTACGATGGGTGCCCATTCTAGATGTAGGCCATTAGAAAGAACATGTTAAAATAAAATGATATTTCGTGAGTAAGGGGTATCAAAAAGGCTCTACTCTGACGTTTGCTTCCTTGACGTCGCTTGCAAACCAGTGGCTGACTTCCCGAGTAGAATCCGTTAACTCCTCTTCCCGCCTAACAAACTCCTTCTCGTTGGCTTGTCGTACTTGTTTGCCATTGATAGGCTGGGTATCTTCATCTTCATCATCTTCATCCTCACTATCCCACTCATCTTCCTCCGCAGTGCCCTTTTCTACCGGGTCCCATTCGTCGGATTCCCATATTAGTTTAAATCGCAGTGCAGGTAAGGAGAAATGCCGAGCCACGATAGCTTTGATGAGGTAGACATCAAATGACTTCGGTATCTCTTTCTCAAAAACATGGGTATTGGCTTTCCCTTCTCCCTTGCTAGAGTCAGCCAGGTGGAACCTAAATTTTATCAGCTGTGCTTCTAGAGAACGAGGGTCTATATCCCTGGACTGTTCGTCCTTTTCCGTTCTTTGAATCCCTGGTATCTCGTATATCTTGCAGAGTTCTTTATATCGTGGATGTGACCTGATTATTGCCTGTTCCATACTTGGAGGATGCGCAAGGACCTCCTTTCGAATAAGTGAGAGGTAATATAGTTCTCCATTGAGGCGATCAAGGGGTGTGATCTTGCCGTAATTTAGAATCTTTAGATTAGACAGCCGTGATAGGGTCAGCATGAAAGCTTCATCCACCGTCATCCGAGCCTCAGGTAATCCTGTCACTTTCGTCGGAGCTGGTGGAAGAGCATATAAAGGGTTGTCCGAAATTCGTAAATGTGTCATGCCCGGAAATATTTTCTGTAAAGCATCCAAGAAGCCCCAGGATGAAATTTGGTTGCATGATACATCCACAAATTCCAGAGTTGGGGAAAAGACTAAGTCCGAGGGTGTTGACGCATATATCTTACTGATCTTATTTCTTCGAAGAGAAAGATGGCGAAGCTTGCGTAATGCCGTAAGATGGCTTAAAAAGTCCAGAGATCCGAAATCATTAAAGTCCAGTGAAAGCTCCTGTATCATGGCTGACAGCGGAGCGGACGTGGACGATAACTGGTTGTTCTCCAGCGATAAGCTGGTTAGTGAAGGGAATTTGCAGGATACCATGGCAATCTTGGAAAGGTGTCAGCGAATGAAGTATACAGAGATAGATAAGCAAAGTCATACCTCTTCCCAGTCCATTAAAGTAAAGTCTAAGAATAGACTATTGACTGTGGAAGAAATTGTATCTGAAGAACAATTTTTGACTTCTTCAAAAAAGTTTCCACTATAAATTGGTCAGTCTGTATCGTAGAACAGTAAAGATGAAGGCACAGTGTAGTATACTTTAATTTCAATATTTTCAGTTCTGGTAGCTGAGCGCAGATATCGACTATCTCGCACCACTTCCGTATAAGATTGCGGCTCAAATTAAGCTCCATAACCTTTGGACAAGTGTGCTTGATCTTCTCAAGTTCCTTTTCTCTATTATCAGATACATCGGGCCCAGCCAGCACCCCATTAATGCGCAGGCCATCAAGAATGAGAATCCGAAGCTCATGCAATGCTGCAAGCTGCTTGCGAACCTCATCAAACCCAACCTCTTCCACGATCTTTCCACTGATTTCAATGGGCTTGGATATATAATCTTCCAAAACACGGTCTCCTTTAGAGGAAGAGTGGAATACTGGCAGCTCAGAAACATATTTCTCGTGAGCTCCTTCTAGGAAGCTTAGGGATTTGTCTGATGGTCTGCTAGGACGGACAAATGAGCCAGCTGTTGGGTGATTATTTCTGCCTATAAAAGTTGTTAACTAGTCAAAGATCGATAACTGTTACATATACATGAAGTGACCTGATCTTTACATTGAAAATATTTCACGCCATTGTGAGCTCCCGAGTGTTTGCCCCTGTCTGGCTCATCCCATTCCACGCCGAGCCACTCGCCCTTGGTGCCTTGAACCGGTCCGATATATCGAACCGTGCAAAGAGCACCATCAAATGACAATCTTGACCCAATGGTATACCGACCAGTAGGATCCCGGCCTATGTCAGATTTGTTTGCCATGCCTTATACAATATTGTGTGCTTTTTCTTGTAGTGAGTTCGATGTAGTCAACTTTAACTACTTAGTTAAGCCTCAAGATAGACGAACAAAACTTCTTAGCCAGACTAGTCCTAATTTGGCGGTTACCGTCGCCGCTTTAGTCACGCATTAACTAGGCGGTTTCATCTCGCCCAAGACGGCGTTTGACCGCACGAAATCAAAACATGACGTCGAAACGACATACAATTGCTGTTTTCCTCCCTTGTTATGGCTACGGGAGGATCTACGGAAGTTAATACTTGCATATTTCACTTGGCAGGCCCTTTATCGCCTCTGGAACCTCCTTGGCTTGTGGACTTGTGCAGGGGTTGACATATAGCTGACTCTCGCCGAGAAACTGCTGTGAACCATGGGATGCTTAATTGTGTGCTGATTGGTCTTCTCTGTCCTTATTTATGATCTTTACCTTGCGTAGATCATCCCGGACAGGGTTGGGTATACGAGATTGGTTATCGGCATGCCGTTTTGTTCCTGAGACGATTCGTCGAAAGGAAATACTGCCTTGCACATGGAACCAGCGACAACAACAAAATCGAAGATACGGATATCTTTATCGGCATTCTGCTGCAGAATCATCGAGGGTGTCACTGGACGTGGTTTTATGGCGGCCCACGACACGCTATGGTCACGAGAGACTGCAGAGAGGTTCATAGCTTGTGCAGATGCAAGTCTTTTGAGTCTGGTCCTGGAATGTTCGGGAGATTGTCGATCCCGCCGCTGTGCCCTTCAGCAGTTGACGCCATGATGCCCTTCCAGACATTTCTAGTCGTGGTACCTCCGTACACAGCATCTTCAAGCCCTGCGGGCAGATAAATGCTTGGAATGTTATTGGAGAATAGACGGCATTGAGTTCTTGCAAGGCCTTTTCTGATTCCTAAAAGAATAAGAAGCATTAAGGAAAAAGAAAAAGAAGCGCATTAACGAGTTATCCGCCCCGAGAAATTGAAATCTGCCTAATTGCTGTGATGCCACCCTTCGAGGTATCTACTTACCCAAATGCCGCCGTATCCACCTGTCTAACTAGACAGAGTAAAGTATTCTTGTTAACAAGAGAAAGATTCTCTCTTTATCTGTGTACTCCGAAGCCACACCTTACCTTATTCTATTTTACATACTTCTTATACCTATATCCTTTTGCTTTACCTTCTTGCTCTTTCTTGTATAGGATTCTTATACCCTTAACCCCCTAGCCCTTTCTAACCCTAACCCTACCCTGAGTATAACTAGATAATATATAAGAATTACAGTATAGTAGATGTAGAAGAGCGTGGCTGAGGATATACAGTTAAAATAAAGAATTTTACCCTAAGAAGAATACCTTACTCTATGTAGTTAGGCAGGTAGATTAAGTAGTTAGTAGTTATTTAGGTAAGCAGATCCAAAGGGTAACAAGTTAGTTAACTTTCCAGCCATTGGGCGAATCGAAATCCGACATCTTCTAGTTGATCGCTGCCATGTTTTGGATGGCCGCGTACGCTATCTTATAACCAGACAGGTTCTGGTTCTGGAGAGCGCTAGTTAACAAACGTTTCACGAAGCAGTGTTAATTAGCCAGGAATTTGACTACAAGCATTTCATTATTCCTCGGCGACGAGCGAATGGTTGGCTACTGGTTAATAATGGCCAGGTATGTAGCCCTGTCGCTGCGGCCAGCATGATATTCTAGGCTTTGTGAATAGATGTCGATCAGAACCACTCTGTACCGGCTGCTTGATTCACCCTTATCTGGAAGGTTGAACCTCGCTGCGCCTCCGCCGGATCCCTGATCATCTCAAGGCTCAAGCCGAGATCTCAAACGCTGAGCTTTGTACGCCGCTGTCAAAAGACGCCGAACCGCCCTACAGGGGACGCGCAGCGCATCCAGACCCTGTTCCACTTGGCCTCTCCCTGCCGCGCACGTTTGGAGAGCGATGGTTACTCCTGGCTGTTTGGAAGAAAAAAATCGGAGCTCTAATCTTCGGATGAACGGGGATGGAGATGCGCGAGGCTTTCTCGCAGGTGGGAACCGATGCATGCACTTGCCGGTAGCTATGGGGCCTGTTGAGCCTGAAAAGTGTCCCTTTGACTCTTTCCATGCCAAAAATGGTCCATATGCACTGATTACACTGCATCTTTTGCTGCAACAGTGGCCGATGGTGTAGAAACGTTCCGGCGGCTTTCCAGCAGCACAGGACCCCCGTGCTTGAATTAACGTCAATGCCAGGTTTGGGTAGCAGCGGATGTTTCGAAAATGCAAGCGCTCGAGGGAAGAGTTAACTGGGGCAGCGTGGTGCGTTTGCCGTGCTATCGAGCAGTGTCACCCGGCGAAAAAGTATACCCATGGAAAATCAGGGAGAAAGCGTTTCGTCGTGGAGAGCCGACGTGTTTACGCTTCTTGACCCAGGTCTGCATGGGCAACGTCATCCAAGGATGGCTCAGCCAGTGGTTTATATATAAACTGCCTGTGCACCTTCCCATGGATACTCGATCGTTTAGCCAAAGAGTGTGTGTTTGCGTGTGCAACTCTGAGCATTGAGATTTGGGAAACATGGTCTTCGAGCGTCAGGCAGAGGCCGGCAACCTGTCTTCCATCACACTCTTCAATACCAAAAGCGAGGCCCCTTCACCACTATCACCGTCTACTGCTCGCAACTCCTTGGATAAAGCTCCTCATGCGTCGGCCTTGACTCTCACGAATCCTAACGGTAACGAGGATGTCGAGCTTGCAGCAAAGAATACCTCCAGCAAAACATCGGCCGAGCCACCATACCACATCTTTTCCCACCGTCAGAAATGGCAGCTCGTTCTCCTAGTCTCCATTGCAGGAGCATTCTCCCCTCTTTCCTCAAACATATATTTCCCGGCCATAGACACCATATCGTCGCAGCTACATGTTAGTGCCTCGCTGGTAGCTCTGACAATCACCGTGTACCTGATAGTTCAGGGTATCAGCCCGTCAATATGGGGCCCGATGTCAGATACCTCTGGTCGCCGGATTACTTTTGTTATCACCCTCACCATATATGCCGCCGCTAATCTCGCACTGGCTTTTACCGCCAACTTCCCAATGCTAGTTGTACTTCGTGGCGTGCAGGCTTTGGGTTCTGCGGCAACTATCAGTATTAGTGTCGGCGTGATTGGGGATATGGCTTGCCCTGAAGAGAGAGGAGGCTTTGTAGGGACTAACGCTGGAATTCGGTAGGTTGGAACATAGTCACTCTCCTGGGAAGTAATGCTTTGCTAATCTGCTGGTAGGATGATTGGACAGGCTGTTGGCCCCGTTATTGGTGGCCTGCTTAACAGCAAATGGGGGTTTAGAAGCATTTTCTGGCTCCTCTTTGTCCAGAGCATTATTGTCCTGCTGTTATTACTGGTGTTCTTACCGGAAACTCAGCGGAAGTTAGCAGGAAACGGCAGCATTCCTCTCCATGGATTCCATAAACCGTGGTTGTACTACCTGCAGCCACCTAAGTCATGGGCCAAGAACAAGGGCAGCGAATCTCCCGCATCCAAAATTCCACGCATATCACTCAAAAGTACACTTGTTCCGTTGACGTATGTCTTCCAAAAAGACATCTTCGTCCTCCTTGCCTGGGGTTCTCTTATCTATACACTCTGGAGCATGGTAACATCCTCAACCACTACCGTTCTACTGCACTCATTCCCTAGCCTAACACAATGGCAAATTGGTCTCTGCTTCCTTCCCAACGGAGCCGGATGTGTACTTGGCTCTCTATTTACCGGACGGCTGTTAGACCGAACTTTTAAGCGAATCCAATCCGAATACAAGATACAGCATGGCTTGCCGGACTCAGTGAACATAAAAAACATACCAGACTTCCCTATTGAACGCACTCGGCTTCAATTTATGCCTTATTTCAGTCTATCTTTCATCATATGTGTCGCTCTCTACGGACCTAGTTTCGAGCTGAATGACTTGAGGAGATATTTCGCTGCCAACCTGGTGGCCTCGTTGGGTCTCCAATTCATGATTGCTTTCACATCAACCGCCATTTTTAACATCAACTCGACCATGTTGGTGGACTGCTTCCCTAACGGCTCAGCCAGTGCAACAGCAACTAACAACCTTGTTCGATGCCTTGTGGGTGCAGCTGGAGTGAGTGTGATTCAACCCTTGATAGCGGCTGTGAGAGTAAGGAACGCCTTTCTGATATTGACTGGTGTTGTTGTATTGTTTTTACCGCTGGTATGGGTACAATGGCAGTACTGCGGGAAATGGAGGCAGGAAAGGGTACGAAGAGAAAGTGAAAAGTCTGGAACAGGTGAAAAATAAGGAGCAACTGGGTTTTATTTTATTATATCTCACGAATGATTACTCTGTTAGTATCAGCGGGGTTCCAAAGATATTTGCGTTTTGCTGACATAGACGAATTTCTTTACGATATAAAAGTTAGACAACCAGTTTTTATGTATGCTGGCATGCATAGGTACACCTTTTAGGCCAGGTCACATTCAATAAGACTCTCAATACCACGTTGACCAGTCCAGATGTTAACAATTTTCAGCCCTGCTGATTCCAAAAGGGCGTACCAGTCAGTAGTTGTGCGCTCAATACCTCGAAAGTTGGCCATCATAATAAGGTCCAGGCTGGTACTTTCCCAGTAGGCCTTTGTTTCGGGAATGACATGGTCGTGGATCAAAAGCTTGCTGTATCCGGGGGTCATTGCCGGTGTGAGATTCTCGAGTATCCGCTGCGAATCTCGGTCACTCCAATTGTGGAAGATGAAGTGCATGAAATACGCTCGAACCCCCTTATCGAAAAGAAGGTCAGCACCTGTTTATACCCAAACGCATGGTGGCACCTTTACCTTTTATTGGCTGCTCTTTGAAGAAGTCATGCTCCATCGGCTCAATTAAAGGATGTAATGCCTTTATTTTTGCCTGCACGATTACTCCTGGCAGGTCCTGGAGTATCAGGCGGCCGAGGATACTGGCCACTAACTACGGAATTTAGAAATGTCGTCTCCCTAGCCACGGCCCATATCAACTAGTATGACATCGTCATCCCCAATGCTAACACCATCCGTGAGCCTTGACCCTGGATAGACGCTCGGGTGTGACCAGATAAGCTCTCCCTGGCTATAACTATTGCGAACGATGGATAAAACGTAAAATCTAGCCAGACAAGGTGCTCGAGGTTCTGAATATGCTATATCAGGATGTTTGATGTGGACTAGAGCTCACCTCCTTTAAAGCAATACGTACCATGTCACCCAAATAAGAAATATTAGGTTCGTTCATGGCTGTTCTTTAGGTTGGTTCCTTCAACTAACTAACTAATGAAGGTTCAACCTTAACTAGTCAACGATGTCTAGACTATAAAAGCCTGTTTCAGATAAGTCTCCCATAATTAGGGGACTGATCTAGGAATATGTACTTTGAAAGGTTGGGATTTTTGCTTACCTTCTGGAATATACCCGGTGTACCATTGTCACTATGCTCTCTCTTTTGCTCACCATGATCCATTCGAATACTGCTGGAATCTATTTGCCTTAGCTACTCTTTCTTCTGTTTATCTTTTATGTACTGGATGTGGGATAATGCCAACGGTCAAAAGAATTCATTCCGCCATAAGGAGAATGGCCAACTTGATTAAACGGAATACCTTTCCCCGAGTGCCATGGCGAACCCTTGGGAACCCTAGGACTATCCCAACAGATACTGGTGATCAAATACTCACCGATGACTGGTTTGCTATCATCTGGAAACCAAATTATGTCCCTTATATGTTCTTCTCCATGGCATGGGGTTTGATCACTGGTTTTAAGTAAATGCTCTATAGCAGCTCTGCACTGAGATTTAAGCGGCCTGTCATCTTCCAGGAACAATTACCTAGGCTAACTTGCTAGTTAACTAGTTTCTGTTACCCCACGCCAAGTGTGGCATCAGCCATTGAGGCTTAATGGCGGTGCAGCGATCAGCTGTACGACCTTTTGGCCGAATGGTATACGATGTCTCATCGCAGTAACTACATCCACCATTGAATGGATAGAAAGGTATCATTGAAACGAGACAGTCAATAGAAAACTGGTGTTTATTCCAGAATATCCTACTGCAGTCATGTTTGATTCACCTACTTTTGATTTCAATAGCTACATCAAGTATCGGCCACCATATTCCGACAAGCTCTATGCGGAGATCTACCAATACCATAAAAGCCATGGGGGCCAGTGGAACCTTGCTCACGACGCTGGGACGGGGGCTGGAATAGTTGCTGAGGAGCTTTCGACGAAGTTCACCACCGTTGCGGCCAGCGATCCAAGTGCCTTTTATCTTGAGCAAGCCAGGCGACGTCTATCCCCTGGAGACAAATTTCGTTTCGGCTGTTATCCAGGGGAGGACATGTCATGGCTGCCCGATGCTGGGGTCGATATGATCACCATGGCCGAAGCAATCCACTGGGCAGAACCTCAAGATGTGGTCGCAGCGGCATCGAAGGCCCTGAAGCCAGGAGGAACTCTGGCAATATGGCATTATGGCGTCATTCCCATCTTTGTTGGTTCAACAGACGCACAGGATGCCTTTAACGAGCTATTCGACCATTGGAGCTCACGGATAATAGCGGGCGCGCCAGAATCCAAGCTTGCAAATCTGGAGAGAGCGGTGCGAGTGACGGTGCTTCGAATGGCCGAAATCAAATTTGACAAGAGTGAATGGAAAGCTGGAGTGCATCGGATATACTGGAACGCATATCATCCTACTGTGGGTAAAACACACCAGGCTGCATTTAAGGATGTCCAAGTGCAGGAGAACCCGGACGATGTTGTGGAGAGAAGAATCGACGAGACAATTCTCAACCAGTATGCAGACATAGACTGGATACGAGGATACATGAACCATCTATACCCAGATGTACCAGCGGATGATACCGAGCAGGGAATGTTTGAGAAGCTGGCGAGAATCATGGAAGGTAGAAAGTTACAGCTTTCTTGGACGGTTACGATGATCCTTGCCACAAAGTCGGATTAATAAATCAAATATTATGGTCCACATCCAATTTAGTTATATGAATTGGAGTTGTTTAAATACTCATCGTTTAATATCAACTTATCCTGACCGACGCTTGGTTATTCATCGTGTCCGATTAGTTAGATTCCTGCCAACCCACGCATCCACATCTGAGGTTGGTCCTAACATTAATGTTGGCATGCCTTTGCCGGTCAGCATTGAAGTAGCATAGGACGCAACTAGGCCCCAGCTGCCACCATAACAGTATGCTTCCGGGAAAAACCATTAAGGAAGAGTAGCCGACACTTTGTAAGGGGGTATATCAATCCGGCCTTTTCGTGGGAAGCATTGTTCAGGGAGTAAGTATATAATGTTCCGTTTATTCCTCTGTTACAGAATTTTCTGTAGGGATAATAGTCGTGTGGTATAGTTGATTGCAGAACGATATAGTTATTCGTCTCCCATATAGTTAGTTAAGTCATATCGAGTTCCGTGGATAGGGAGGGCTGGTAGATTTCGCATAACAGGTACGGGCAACCTCTGTCTGACAAGCATCAAAAGCGATTGCAGCTCTAATGAAAATAGTCATATCTTTAAGCTGCCATAAGCCATCCAAAATATATGCGAAGTTTTCGACCGGGGACAATAATAAGTGCTGCCTCTTGGGCTTCAAGTTGCTGGAATCGATTTGATCCTCCTTAGGGCGTAGTTGACTCTAGTTTACTATCCACCAATCACAAGCCAGGAAAAAGCTCCATCAAAATTGTTCTATCAAACTCCTAAAAGCTGCAAAGCAACTCGAGATAGCAGCCTTTCGACCAACGCAGCAGCAATGGACTACCAGGTACGTTATACTCTTATACCTGACCAATACAGCCGAACTAGCTACTAACTTCTAAATCTTTACAGAATCGAGCAGGCTCCAAATTCGGCGGCGGCGGAGTCGCGTCGCACTCCGCCACCAACGCAGACAGACGAGAACGACTCCGCAAGCTCGCACTCGAACACATCGACCTCGCAAAGGACCCCTACTTCTTCAAAAACCATGTCGGAAGCTTCGAGTGTCGACTCTGTCTCACCGTCCACCAAAACGACGGCTCCTACCTCGCTCATACGCAGGGGCGCAAACATCAGACCAACTTAGCCCGTCGAGCAGCACGGGAGCAAAGAGAAGGCCGAGCGCAGGATGGATCCGGCGGTGCTTTGCCTGCGGGCAATATGGGCGTACAAGTGAAGCGCAACACAGTCAAGATCGGACGGCCCGGGTATAAAATCACCAAGATCCGAGATCCGCTTACGAGGCAGCATGGCTTGCTCTTCCAACTTCAGTATCAGGAGATAACGCCGGGTGTTAAGCCCAGGATACGATTTATGTCTGCCTTTGAGCAGAAAGTGGATGACCCGCCGGATAAGGATTATCAGTATTTGCTTGTTGCTGCGGAACCGTATCAGACGTGCGGGTTTAAGTTGCAGGCGAGAGAGGTTGATAGGAGAGAAGGGAAGCTGTGGACGTGGTTTGACGAGGATAGCAAGGAGTTTTGGATTCAGCTGTTGTTCAAGACCGAGCGTGAGGAGAGGTACAGTGGTGTTCCTGGATTGGCACCGGCTAGTACCCGGCGATGAGATGTTATCTGACTTTTATTTACAATTTGTTACTGGGACGGCCCTAGGAATTTGTCATGGCGTTAATGGGCATGTGTAGTACTATATAGCGGTGTTACTTCAAGAATGGACTTTTTTTACGGTACGTGACGTTAGTATAATGTTGATTGAGGACACGTAGGTTCATGTTGTCATATGGGTAGAATTGTCAACCTAGCTGAATCTCTATCTTGCTATAGGGTCTCAAACCCGTAGTAACGCAACGGTGTAGAGGTATACAATACCACAGTATTAACCGAGAAATCCATCAACATGGTCAAAAATCCGCAAAGGCCAGGTCATCACACGTATTATTTTTTTTTTTCCAACAGTTTGATATTTTTACTGGAGAAAAGAAAAAAGCAAAACCAGAGAAAACGAGGACAGCAAAGTCTCAGAAGTAGAAGGAAACGCCCTGAAAGCACGCATATTTTCCCCGCTTGCAGAAGATCGTGAATGAATTACTGCCCCCTTGCCTTTGCTTTCATGCTCAATTAAGCGTTGGGTATTGCATTTGGTATAGCGGCATCTAGCTGCTCTGGAATGCGTTGAAGGCCTTGTAAGTGTAACCGATAAAGGGGAGGGACATCTCGGCCTCTTGTTCCTCGGGCATAGCGCGAGCTTGGGCGCGGAGGAGGGCACTGTTGTCTTCCTGGGGAATCTCATCGATGGGGAAGTAGGAGACATCAATGTTGGAAGTGAGTCTAGGCTCGAAGGGGGCACGGATTCGGCGCAGTTGTTCCCATACGACACCACGGAAGAAGGGGTGGTTTTTAATCTGGGTGGCACCGCCATGTTGTCCTCCTTCTTGACCAATACGGTTTTCTGGGTCACAAAGGAAGCTGTTCCAAAGTTAGCATAGAGGAAAGGAGGAAAAAGGAGAAGAGATGTACAATGCAGCATACCTTCTAATAAGATGTTCAGAGTCCCTGGAGAGAACCAGTTCGTCTGGGAAAGCAAGATGCTCACGCCAGTAGACGATCTTTCGGTAAGTATCGGTTGGCTGTTCGGCACAGAATGGAGGCCATCCGACGAGACATTCGAACATAATAGCTCCAACAGACCACCAATCGCAGAGATAGGTATATCCCTGGCCGTTGAATATCTCAGGGGCAATGTAATCGGGGGTGCCGACGGTGGAGTATGCCATAGCACGACGTGATCGACGCCAGGTATTGATCTGGCCACGGTTGGAGACCGTCAAATTGATGGCATCTGAGAAGAAGCCAGAGTTTCTATTCTTATCTTTGGATGTCGAGGTATTCTTTAACAAGGCCTGGTAATATGAGTTGTCATGCTGTTTCTTGCCACCAGTCGACAGGCCAAAGTCAGTTAATTTGATATGACCGCCGCGGTCAAGTAAAATGTTATCAGGTTTAATATCACTATCCTTCGTCAGCATGATTTATTTTTAAAGATTAAGGGGTAACAAGCATACCGATGCAAGAAGCCGAGTTTGTGGACGGCCTCGATGGCCATGACCAGCTCGGCCATGTAAAATCTGGTGATATCCTCTGAGAAGATCTCATATTTAATAAGCATGGTCATCAAGTCACCGCCAGGCAAGAACTCCATGAGCAGGTAAAGGTACGCCTTATCCTGGAACGATGCGTGGAGCTTAACGAGCCATGGGTTGTCCTTGGAGTCAGCAAGGATATCACGCTCAGCGCGGACGTGTGCAAGCTGGTCCTTCTTGAACATCTCTGTCTTGATAAGTGACTTGAGGGCATAGATCTTGCCGTCAGTCTTGCGCTGCACGAGCTTGACTTCTCCGAAAGCACCCTTGCCAATGATCTTGATCGTCTGGAAGTTCGAGGGAGTCTCTCTCGTTCTGATAAAGCGGAGGAAGTTGGCTTCTTTCTTTGCCATGGCCTCTGCTTCATGTTTCCGCTTTGCATCAGAGATGGTTGCATTCTGGCAGATCTTGTCTAGATTGGCAGCACTAGATAAAAACCAGTCAGTACGAAACGGTATGGAACTGTAGGAGGTCTCAGTCCGTTTATAGCATACCGCATATTTCTATCACGAGCTCTCTCGATATTCTCGCGGAAGAAGACATTGACGAGCTCCTTTGCCGCCTTCCCACGCTTGTGGGCGTTCTCAGAGTATCTCTCCGGGCATCTCACAAGCTCCTCGTCCTCTGGGTTGGCACCACGAGCCGGTATAGGAGGGGTCAAGTGGG